GTGATCTCCACCTTTCCCTCACCTGATATTTATTTTTACACGCTGCTTCACTGATTCCGACTCAGTTAACTCGTTCCTCTCTCTGTGTGGTGTGGTTTTGGTAGACGACGACGACAATGGAGGAGTTAGATCGTTCACGTGCTTTTGCTAGAGACGTTAAACGTATCGTCGTTAAGGTTCGTTCGTGTGTATTTTTTTTATGTCCTTGTTTCGTTGAGATACGTTCACATTTTCAGATTTTGTTTTTTGATCCATTGTTGATTGATTTCTCTGTGTTCGTCGTTTGTGGAAATGGATATTTATATAATTTAAGTGCATCTAAACACTTTGTTTATTGAATTTGTGAATCTGAATATATTTTCTAATCCCAGAAATTAAAACTTCTCGTATGAATCTTAATTTGCATGTCATTAGAGACGAATGAATAATCAGAATATTCGAGGAATTTTTTTTTTGGTGATTAATTTTTGGATTTTTGTTTGTATTATGTAAATAAAAAGGTTGGGACCGCTGTTGTTACTGGAAAAGGTGGAAGATTGGCTCTTGGTCGATTAGGAGCACTGTGTGAACAGGTTATTGTCAAATTTTAATAATCTCCTTTTATTGATTATAATTATAAAAAGTGTGTAAAAGGTTTCATTTTTCACGAAAGACATGTGAATTATTCATGTGTAGTGGCAACTTTAATTTGTAAAAAAAAAAATATAATGTCAGCTTGCGGAATTAAACTCGGATGGATTTGAGGTGATATTGGTGTCATCTGGTGCGGTTGGTCTTGGCCGGCAAAGGCTTCGATATCGACAATTAGTCAATAGCAGGTTAAGCTAAATGGCTACACTTTATTATTAATCCATTTCCCATGGATGGACCATTTTGGGTTGTGTTTTTATTGCAATAACAGTGACATGTGTTTATGTGTTTTGATTTAAAAGTTTGTGACATGTGTTTATGTGTTTTGATTTAAAAATTTGTTTTTTGCTGATGAGTGTTTTTTTTTTTTAAATGGGATTTTGCAGCTTTGCGGATCTTCAGAAGCCTCAGACTGAACTTGATGGGAAGGCTTGTGCTGGTGTTGGACAAAGCAGTCTTATGGCTTATTATGAGACTATGTTCGACCAGGTGATTTTCCTTTTTTTCTTTCAAATAGTAGAAAAGAATTATGTGTTATTCTCTTCAATATTTATTGTGTAAGACATCCAGATATTGATGCTGTTGTTTTCTTTGGCCAGCTGGATGTGACGGCAGCTCAACTTCTGGTGAATGACAGTAGTTTTAGAGACAAGGATTTCAGGAAGCAACTTAATGAAACTGTCAAGTCCATGCTTGATTTGAGGGTTATTCCAATTTTCAATGAGAATGATGCTATAAGCACCCGAAGAGCCCCATATCAGGTTTGTCCCTTTTGACATGAAATTCTACAGAACTCTGAGATGTGAGGGATTCTTTGAATCTCGTAGTCTAATGTTCAGCTTTGTTGCGCCTGATATATGCAGGATTCTTCTGGTATTTTCTGGGATAACGATAGCTTGGCTGCTCTACTGGCGCTAGAACTAAAAGCTGATCTTCTGATTCTCCTGAGTGATGTTGAAGGTCTTTACACAGGTCCTCCAAGTGATCCTAACTCAAAGTTGATCCACACTTTTGTTAAAGAAAAACATCAAGACGAGATTACATTTGGCGACAAATCAAGATTAGGGAGAGGTGGTATGACTGCAAAAGTCAAAGCTGCAGTGAATGCAGCTTATGCTGGGATTCCTGTCATCATAACCAGGTGAAGAACCTTTTAAGCTCATCATGCATAGTTATATTGTGATATGCTTGTTCAAATTTGTCATGTTTGGTTAGATGGAATATTGATATCTTTTCTTGCTTTTGAAGTGGCTATTCAGCTGAGAACATAGACAAAGTCCTCAGAGGACTGCGTGTTGGAACCTTATTCCATCAAGATGCTCGTTTATGGGCTCCGATCACAGATTCTAATGCTCGTGACATGGCAGTTGCTGCGAGGGAAAGTTCCAGAAAGCTTCAGGTAATTGTGACTTATGCATGGCTTTCTTTCGTGTTGGTAACATCAAAAACCATTCTTGCTCGGCACAGAGTTACCTAACTTTTTTTTTATAGGCTTTATCTTCAGAAGATAGGAAAAAAATTCTGCTTGATATTGCCGATGCTCTTGAAGCAAATGAAACAAGAATCAAAGCTGAGAATGAGTTAGATGTAGCTGCTGCACAAGAGGCTGGCTTGGAAGAGTCAATGGTGGCTCGCTTAGTTATGACACCTGGAAAGGTAAGAAAGTAATCATGGCCATAGATAGTTGCTTTTTGTTGCTATGGCTTGGGCAAAGATATTGTGCCAATGTTACCTCTCCTTATAATCCATTTGTTTCTAATGTTTCTTTATTTTGTGCTTGATAGATCTCGAGCCTTGCAGCTTCAGTTCGTAAGCTAGCTGAAATGGAAGATCCAATCGGCCGTGTTTTAAAGAAAACAGAGGTGATTAGAGGACACTTGTTACCATATAGTTAATTTACATACTCTTGAGTTAAATAAGGGATAGGAGTATCTTTCTAGTTGACATACATAGTTGTTTATGCAATTTGTTCTTTGTGGCAATTCCTCTTACAGGTGGCAGATGGTCTTGTCTTAGAGAAGACCTCATCTCCATTAGGCGTACTCCTGATTGTTTTTGAATCCCGACCTGATGCACTTGTACAGGTATGTTAATAGTCAAATTCCTTTCCCTTCTTAATATGTAAATTTGCTAAAGCTAAGCTTTATCCACAAACCAAACAGATAGCTTCACTTGCCATCCGTAGTGGAAATGGTATTTTGTTGAAGGGTGGAAAGGAGGCCCGGCGATCAAATGCTATCTTACACAAGGTACTGCGCCTCAGATTTCATAGCTTGGAGTACTATCCGGATTTATCATCATATGGCTTCCTCAAAATATATACTTCAATTCTTTTAACTCTTTTAATATCATGGTAAATTTCTAGGTGATCACTGAAGCAATTCCAGAGACTGTTGGGGGTAAACTCATTGGACTTGTGACTTCAAGGGAAGAGATTCCTGATTTGCTCAAGGTAAACACAGATTTACAAACCGGGAGCTGCAATGCAACAGGTCTTTTATATCTCTTGTTAAACTGGAACTCACCATTTGCATTTGCATTTGTGCTACAGCTTGATGATGTTATCGATCTTGTGATCCCAAGAGGCAGCAACAAGCTTGTTACTCAGATAAAAAATACTACAAAAATCCCTGTGCTTGGTCATGCTGGTACGGTTTCAAGTTTGTTTTTCCATAGGATTCTTTACTTGAATTGTGCTAGAGATTGATGATGACTTAATTGTGGACTTCCAGATGGAATCTGTCATGTATATGTCGACAAGGCTTGTGATACGGATATGGCAAAGCGCATAGTTTCTGATGCAAAGTTGGACTATCCAGCAGCCTGTAATGCGATGGTAAGAGAAGTTTTTTACCTTCCATCGAGATTTCACTAATAAAGTTCATATAACTCATTTCATCTTCTCTTTCCTTCGTCTTTTTCAGGAAACCCTTCTTGTGCACAAGGATCTAGAGCAGAATGCTGTGCTCAATGAGCTTATTTTTGCTCTGCAGAGCAATGGTAAGTCATAAATGGCCCAATTATTTGTTGGTCTATCTTAACCATTTATTTGACGTCTTGTTACCTGCAATCTGGATGTCTCATAGATACATGTTGCCTCTTTGATTATAAATGTTGAATGGTCATTTCATGAAAACTTTCTAGAGTGGTATAACTCATGAGGTTTTAAACTGCAGGAGTCACTTTGTATGGTGGACCAAGGGCAAGTGCAATACTGAACATACCAGAAGCACGGTCATTCAACCATGAGTACTGTGCCAAGGCTTGCACTGTTGAAGTTGTAGAAGACGTTTATGGTGCTATAGATCACATTCACCGACATGGGAGGTAGAAACTCGACATAACAGGCATTGGCTTTTGTAAATTTTTGTATATGTAGTGGAAATGTTCACTCGTTATCTTGTCTTGGATGTTGTTGCGAGCAGTGCACACACAGACTGCATTGTGACAGAGGATCACGAAGTTGCAGAGCTATTCCTTCGCCAAGTGGACAGGTAAAATACTGGATCATGAGCTTGCTTGATATCTTGTCTTTGATTTTTCTTGGTAACTGACTGTAAGATGTTGCGTCCTTGTACAGCGCTGCTGTTTTCCACAACGCAAGCACAAGATTCTCAGATGGTTTTCGATTTGGACTTGGTGCTGAGGTAAGTCAGAGACATAAACATAAGCCTATATATTAAAAACAAATAAAAAGAGGAAGAGTGAGTGATAGAGTATTGGGTTGTGGTATATAGGTGGGAGTAAGCACTGGCCGTATCCATGCTCGTGGTCCAGTTGGGGTCGAAGGATTACTTACAACGAGATGGTACAATTACAGTTACTCAAAGCACCACTTTTATGTCAATGTAGACCCACAATAAGCCTTTTTTCTTAGGTTTCTTTTAATTTTCACGGTGAAATGGTTGCAGGATAATGAGAGGAAAAGGACAAGTTGTCGACGGAGACAATGGAATTGTTTACACCCATCAGGACATTCCCATCCAAGCTTAAAACAAAACTTCGAGTGTGTGTTTGTTTGTTTGGTTGAGACTTGAGGAGAGACACAGAGGAGGATGGGCTTTTTGTTTCCTCTCTGCTTAGTACTCATATCCTATCATTATTATTATTACTACTACTTATTATTGAAACCCTCGCTTATGTAGTGGTTTTGATTTAGGGTTAGGATTGCACCAAAAAATAAGATCTACTTTACCACTTGGTCTTGCTCATAAGTAAGATGAAGAACGTTTTATTAGCTTCTCTTCTTGTCATTGTAAGCTACCTACACCTTTTCTGATACTTTATCAAGATTCTACTACTCTTCGTATCTTTTATCTATAACTATCTTTGGATTTGAGTTTCAATTAGCATCGGGAATCACAAGTTGAATCAGAACAGAAAATTCATTACCAGTAATTCTCAAAGATTGTGCTACATTTGAATGCTAACAATGCTAATAATAAGAGACTTCACAATCTCATTCTTAGGTACTTAGCTAACGACCTTACATTCATTCTTCCATAAACTCCTTAACATTCTTCAACCATAACAAGTACTCTCGGTTCACTTTCCTCATCATGTACTCGTGCAGGAAGTTCGTCGTGCTAGCTTTCACACCTCTGATCTCCAAAAACTTGTAGAACGTCTTCTTTAGATTCTCGTCCAAGTCTCTGCAAAAAGCGATAAAACACAAAACAACATTATAATCTCTCTGTTCACCATGCCTATCTCTATACAACCTTACACTTGCAATTATTATTGACAGAGGCTTACTCGAAATCAGGCCCTTCATTGGCCATTTGATCCTCCAAAGAATCCCCAGGATGTTTCACAGTTAAAGCATCTATAGCAATCTCATCAGGAAAAGCCATACAGCTAAACTCTAGGCTGAGTCCACTCTTCTTGGTAACAGTCACAACTAGTGGAATACTTGATTCATTACTAGGACCTTCATCATCATCAGCATCATCATCATTTTCATCTGAAACAAGACTAGGCATGCTAACTACAACTTTAATATGTTCCCCATTGTAGTCTCTAGTCAATGTTACATTCTGATGTCCAGGATTGTCTTCAATTCTAAAAGGAAAGCTTCCTGGAGTCATCTCTTCATCCTGCTCCCAACCAAACCCCAATAGAATGTCAGAAAAAAACAGTCTCAACTGATCAAACACAGAGACAAATATCTTCTAAGCATAAGAATATCATCAGCATATGAAATGATATCATAAATTGAAGAACTTTTCAACAAGCTTGTAAAGCCATTTGGTTAAACATACAAAGAAACTGAAACACAGTAACAAGTAAGAACTATAATCAGCAAAAATTTCAACACTTTTTTCAAATATCAAATTGAGAAGCTCTTTGATTTCATTCTTCTTAAGACCAAACTATCGTTTTGAGCAAGAAATGAGAAAACTTTACCAAATCGATATTATCGGTTTGCGAAGCAGAATTGATCTCGGAGTCGATAACTCGGATAAGCGATTGCTCGGAGCTCATTCGATCAATAGCCGTCGAGTAATTAAAGCCGCGAGAGACAAATGGACGAACCGGAGATGGGTTGCGAGCTAGAGACGCGCGGTTCACAACGGCGGAGATAGATCGGACTCGACCACCATAAACGGAAGCAAACTTAGATGCTGACCTGCGTACAACGCACCAAGCTAAAGCCATGGTGATTCGATTTGATTGATTCTCTCTTCTTCTGTGAAGGAAGAAAATGGAGTTTTAAGGGTTTTAAGGTTTTAACAGCGATTGAAGTTGAGCTCCGTATCAGCCCGGTTCGCTTCGGTTCGGTTCGTTGGTTAATTCAAAACAACGAACCAAATTACATTCTAATTCAAGCCAAAAATAACTACGCCAAAATTTCTCATCTAACAAACCATTCTTGTGACTTTAGTTCAGGAATTGTATGTAATGTATCTATGACTCTTGAGTATATCATGCTTGATTTTTCTGGATATAGACCATATGAAAAGTTACTTCAAATAACTCCCAAGCAAACCAATAATAGAAACATTACTTCTCTCACAAAGGAATTATTAAACCCTTTTGTGTAAAAATCTCTCTTCTCTACACATTTATTCTTCAGAGGAAGAAAACGTGTTTTTAAACATGGGGATGAGACCTAGTAACGAACCAATATACTAACATTTCCTTTCCTAGATCTAGAAGACTAATAATACTATTTCTTCTAGATCTAAAGACTAAAAATATTTGTTTTTTATTTCTAGATCTGAATCTCACACGTTTGATTCGTTTCAATTTCTATTTTTTAATTCATATTCTCGACTTAAAACGCACATATATATAGAGAGAAACACTTTGTACCTATTTCTCATTCAAATCCTAAATCATCAAGAGAAAGAACAATACTTGTAACATAAAATAAACAATCTTTTTTGTTCTTTCAGAATGAAGAACACTCAACGTCAGTTATCTTCATCTTTCATGAAATTCTTGGAGGACAAGAACAGAGACTTAGAGGCTGTGTTTGCTTACATGGATGCAAACAGAGACGGTAGAATCTCTGCAGAGGAGCTCAAGAAGAGTTTCAAGACATTGGGAGAGCAAATCTCTGATGAAGAAGCCGAGGCTGCGGTTAAACTGTCTGATATCGACGGTGATGGAATGTTGGATTTTCATGAGTTTGCTCAGCTTATCAAAGGGAATGATGAATTCACTGAAGAAGAGAAGAAGAGTAAGATAATGGAAGCTTTTAGAATGTATATTGCTAATGGGGAAGATTGTATTACCCCGGAAAGCTTGAAGATGATGCTGATGAAGCTAGGTGAGTCGAGAACCACTGATGATTGCAAAGTTATGATTCAAGCTTTTGATAACAATGCTGATGGAGTTCTAAGCTTTGATGAGTTTGCTCTCATGATGCTTTAAGCTTTCTTGTTTCGTCTATATAGTTTTTGTTTGATTGCTGTGTAAATTAATAAGGCTTTGCAAGCAATATCCAAAAACTTGTTTATTAATATTATTGAGTTTATTAGTCTTTTTTTTCATAATTGATTTGAGTTAATTATTCAGATGCTAATAAAAATAAAACATTGTAGTAAAATGCTAAAACACATTTGAAGTTTGTGATTCTCTCAAGTATCGAACATACTTTTTCATTCTTCCAAAAACTTCTCAACATCCTTCAACCATAACACGTACTGTCGATCTTCCGTCATGTACTCATACAAGAAATCAAGTGTGCTTTTTTCCAATCTGGTGTCCAGATACTTGTAGAACGCCATCTCCAGATCATAATTCACATTTCTGCAAAACGCGATGAAAGAAAAAAAAAACAACAACATTATATCTATAGAACCTTACACTTGGAGTTATCTATATAGAGTTTTTTTTTATTCACAAAACTTACTTGAAATCAGACCCTTCATTCGCCTGTTGATCCTTCGAAGAATCCCCCGAATGATTCACAAATACACCATCTATGTCGATATCATCTTCAGAAACCGCGCAGCGAAACTCGAGGCTAAGTCCGCTCTTCTTGGTAACATTCAGAATTAGTGGAATTTTTAATTCCTCATGATCATCTCCATGATTAGGATCACCAGTTGTATACGTTCTAGGCATGCCTACTACAACTTTAATATGTTCCCCTTCGTAGTCTCTAGTCAATGTCACAGTCTCACCTCCATCATCATCAATTCTGAAAGGTAAGCTTTCTGGAGCCGTGTCTTCGTCCTGCTCTTAATAGATTGTTAAGCAAAAAAAAAAAAAAACAAAGCAAAACCACTTCTAACATGTCAATTCCGATTTAAGAATTTTAAAAAATATCTTGTCTTAATTTAAGAATTATTATGAAAAATTAATCAGCACCACTTCTAACATGTCAATTCCGATTCTCCTCTATGATTTCATCAAAAACAAAGCATAACCAATTTATGTTTCTTGAGGAACAAGCTATGATTCAAAAACTTACATCATCGACATCATTGACTTGGAAAGCAGACTTGATCTCGGAGTCAATCTCGCAGAGAAGCGTTTGCTCGGAGCTCAGCTGATGATCATCAACAACCGTCGAGTTATGAAAGCCACGGGAGACGAAGGGACGCAGCGGTGAAGGCTTGAGGAGAGCTAGAGACGGACGGTTCACAACGGTGGAGATAGATCGGACTTGACCACCACACACAGAAGCCAACTTAGATGCTGACCTGCGTACAACGCACCAAGCCAAAGCCATGGTGATTGATTGATTCTCTCTTCTTTGGTTCTTCTGTGAAGATTTTTGAGGTTTTAGGGTTTTTAAGGTTTTAAGGGTTTATATAAGGATTTTACAGCGATTGAATTTGAACTCCAATGTCAAGCCGGTTCGGTTCGTTGGTTAATTTAAAACCCTAACTAACTCATATCCTAAATCAACCAAAAAAGTAGGCGCAAAATTTATCTTCTAACAAATTGTATCACAAATTCAGATTAAAAATCTATATATAATAGCAATCTAATAAATACCATTTGCACATCTGAACGGTTGCGTTTTTTTATCGCAACTTTTCGTTAATGTTTTTATTAATTAAAATATATATTTTACGGTTATGTTTTTTATATAAATTGCATTCTCAATGTTTTCTACGGTTGCGTTTTTTTATTGTAATTCTTCATAAACAGTTGAAACCGCTTATTCGAATCATTGCAATATTTAGTTTATTTTACGAACAATTGCAACCTTTGGTTTATATATTTAGTTTATTTCACGAACAATTGTAATTTTTGGTTTATTTTATAAATAGCTATAACATTTAATTATCTACCGCCGCGTCTCTCAACTTTTCATAAATTATTATTTTAATTTTTAATTTTTAATTACTAAAATGTATTTAACTGAGATTGTAACTATTTAATTGAACTGTTTCAACAATTGGATTATTTGACGAATTATTGCAACTTTTGGTTTTGTGTTACGAACCATTGTTATCTTTAGTATATTTGATGAACTATTGCAACATTTGGTATAATTGACGAACCATTGCAGTTTTTGGAATATTTGATATCTACGGTTGCGTTTCTCGGATAAGTTCGTCATATTTTAAAAATATATTTAAATACTAAAATATATTTAAATGAATTGTTGTTACCGTTTAATTTAACACAATAGCATTTGGTTTATTTGACGTTGAACGTTTTGGCTTATTTATCAAACCATTGTAATATTTGGTTTATTAGTTTATGCTTTTTGCACTTGAGAATAGTTTTTTAGTTACAAATTATTGTTTTTCTAATATTAATATACTTAATAAATGCTTGTGAGGGTTTTCTTTATTATAATTTTTGTAAAATATATATTGATTTGTTACTAAAAAATTTAAAATTATTACAATTCATTATGATTTTTTCGTTTGATATTTTTTTAAATGATTTTTAAAATATATTCCTCCGCGACATCGCGGGGGTCCTGAGTCCTAGTAAAGTTAATATTATTGAGTTTTTTAGGTAGACGACAGTAAAAAAAAATTGAATTTAAGAAGAACAATATATAATGCGACTTATTATTGTTAAGGTAAACCATTTTTTTTGGTGAATTTGTGTTACTAACCATATGTGGGCAACAAAATCAAGAAACAAACACTTATATAGATTATTTATGCCTGTTTGATAAACAGAATGGACGAAACTAGCACTCTCTTCTTCTTCAATACCTCTTTCTTAGGTGTTGACGATCCATGAAGAACATTTTACCTACACCTTTCTGATATATCATGATCCTACTCCTTATCACTTTCTTTTCTTTTTATCTATATCTTTGGATTTAAGTTTGGATTGGCATTAATTGGGAATCATAAGTGAATATCAAACTCAAATAAGAACTTGAAAATCATGAATTACCATATATTCTCAAAAGCTTATTAAAATTGCTAAAAACACATTTGAATGCTATCAACTAACCCAAGAAGAGACTTCTTTTTTGCAATATCCAAACTTATTACCTTTCATCCATCCACAAACTTCTTAACATTCTTCAACCATAACAAGTACTCTCGCTTTGTTTTGCCCACCATGTACTTGTGCAAGAGTTTCGTTATGCTTGCTTCAAGTCTGGTCGCCAGATACCTGTGGAACGCCTTCTTCAGATTATCGTCCAAGTTTCTGCAAAAGGCAATTTAAAACACACAAAAAAACGTCTATTCTCATCATGCCCATCTCTAAAAAATCTTACACTTGTAGTTATAATTATTTTGAGTTTTTTTTTTCTATTCAAAAAGCTTACTTGAAACGAGGCCAGTCAGTTTCTCCCATTGGAAAGGGATAATCATGCACGGTTAAATCTGTTAAGTCAATATAATCAGCATAAGCGTTGCAGGTAAACTCTATCCTGACTGCGTTCTTCTTGGTAACAGTCACAACTAGTGGAAAACTTAGTTCATCATTACTAGGACCAAACACATCAATGACATCATCACCAAGATAAGGCATTCCTACATCAATATGAATATGTTCATCATTGTAATATGCTGTCAATGTTACACTCTGATCTCCAGGCTTGTCTCTAATTTTAAAAGGGAAGCTTCCTGGAGCCATCTCTTCATTCTGCTCCTAACCAAACCCCAATAGAATGTCAGAAAAAGCAAAAAAAAAAAAAAAAATCTCTTAAGAATATTATCAGCAAACTTATTCGCAATGTAAAGCTAAACGATGATTTCGTCTTAGACTAACTTATATTTTGTTTAAGAATGAAATTTAACCAAAAGCTTTGGTTAGGGTTGAGTCGTTGATTTTGCTTCGATTGTTTATGTTTCCATGTTTTTTCTCTTTTTTGGCATGGGACCATGTGTTTAGGATTTGCATCATGTAAAACCCAAGAAATGATATTTACATTCTTATCAAAAAAAAAAAAAAAAATGAATGAAATTTGAGCAAAGATGTGAAAGTTTTACTAAATTGGGATCATCGGTTTGCAAAGCAGAATTGAGCTCGGAGTCAATCACAAGGTGAAGGCTTTGCTCAGGGCTCAGCTTATCATCAACAGCCATCGAGTTAAAAAAGCCACGAGAGACGAAAGGACTCATCGGAGAGGGGTTGAAATCTAGAGACGGATGGTTCATAACCGCGGAGATAGACCGGACTCGACCACATACGGAAGCGAGCTTAGTTGCTGACTTGCGTACGCAACAAGCAAAAGCCATGGATTGATATTATCTGGTTCTGTGAAGTAAACTGAGATTCAAGGGTTTAAAGGTTTTAGGGTTTTTAAAGGTAACTAACAAATTCTATCACAAAATCTGACGGTATAGTTAAAAAAATATATCAATATTATCCTATTAATTATTTAGATGACAATAAAGAAATATTGAAATTAATTAATGAAATGATAATAATGTGGCTGATTGTTATTGGTAAGGTAATGAAGAACATTTTAGCTACACCTTTCTGATATATCATGATCCTACTCCTTAATCCTTATCACTTTCTTTTCTTTTTATCTATATCTTTGGATTGGCATTAATTGGGAATCATAAGTGAATATCAAACTCAAATAAGAACTTGAAAGTCATGTATTACCATATATTCTCAAAACCTTATGCAAAATGCTAAACACATTTGAATGCTAACTACCAACACAAGAAGAGACTTCATTTTTACAATATAAACTTACCTTTCATTCATCCACAAACTTCTTAACATTCTTCAACCATACTAAGTACTCTCTCTTTATTTTGCTCATCATGTACTTATGCAAGAGTTTCGCTGTGCTTGTTTCAACTCTGGTCGCTAGATACCTTTGGAACGCCTTCTTCAGATTATCGTCCAAGTTTCTACAAAACAGAGGCGATGAAAAACACACAAAAAAACATCATAACCTCTTTCTTTCCCATCTCTAAACAATCTTACACTTGCAATTATTATATAGAACTTTTATGATTCACAAAGCTTACTTGAAACGAGGCCAGTCAGTTTCCATTAGATACTCCAAAGAATCCTCCGGATAATTCACAGTTAAATCTGTTAAGTCAATATAATCAGCATAAGCCAAGCAGGTAAACTCTAGGCTGAGTCCGCTCTTCTTGGTAACAGTCACAACTAGTGGAAAACTTAGTTCATCCTTACGAGTACCAAACGCATCAATGACATCAGCACCAAGATAAGGCATGCCTAATGAAACTTCAATATGTTCCTCATTGTAGTCTCTAGTCATTGTTACACTCTGATCTCCAGGATCGTCTTCAATTCTAAAAGGGAAGCTTCCTAGATCCATCTCTTCCTCCTGCTCTCAACCAAATCCAAAAGAATGTCAGAACAAAAAAAAAAACAATCTCATAAGAATATTACCAGGAAACTAGTTTATGTTTTGTCGGGAATGAAATTGAGCAAAGATGTGAAAGTTTTACTAAATTGCGATCATCGGTTTGCAAAGCAGAATTGAGCTCGGAGTCAATCATGAAAGAGGACAAAGTTGGAAAGGCAAAATAAGTATGAATGTCACTGGAATTTTCAGAGCCCTAAAGATGAAATTTGAAGCAAAGTCGATTCATGTCATCTAGAGAAATGATGAAGAACCAAGATCTTGTTCTATAAGAAAAGAGATATACAGTAAAGCTCTGAGGAGAAGCGTTGGAATTATTTGTTCTTAGATCAGCTTGTGCTCTTAAGCTCTGAAGAATTAAAGTTTCAAAGCAAAGAGGATCAAAAGGTTGTCAGCTCCGTTGGTTCATAGAGAGGATTGTCCGCAAAGAAATCGTCGCTGGTTGCTCATAGTTGTTGATCGGAATCTGGATTGCGTCTTGGTTCTACGTCTCTGAGGGTAAAGAGAGACGAAGATTTATGGTGTGAGGTTTTGATTTTGGTCAAGAGAAAGATACAGGCATGGTAGACATGATGGAGCAGATCCGCGAGATAAAGATGATGTTAGTAGTAGTTCATGCTTCTATCATGTTCTGCTTTGAACAATTGAAGTCTATTAGAGCTACATAGTGAAGTGGTGGTGTACGATGTCAACGGTCAACATCCGGACATTATCAACATCACGTGTTTCAGTGAATGATGGTCTCATTCTAAAGATGATGTGTAAGAATCTTCTCTGTGAGGAAAACGAGGTCATCTCAGAATTTAATCAAAGCTTCAAGGTCTTGAAAGAAGGTGAATTCATGATCTGATTTGGTATGATTATGAGATCAGAGGGTTGTCTACAAACTTACAATGAAAAGAAGAGGATTAATAAATTTTGATCTTGGAGAAAATTGTGTTTAGACTCACGTACTGCTATCGCTGGAAAGAGCAAGCTTCTGGCATTGCAAGAAATTGGCTATGCAATTGAGGAGATTCAAAAACGGTGAACAGGAAGATCGTTTCTCAACTCACACTTAGAATATCGTGGTCTAGAAAAGCAAAGTTTCTAAAACCATGGAGGAGAAAACAAGATCCAGAGTTAAGATTAGCGGGGATGGGGCTCTCCTATGGTGGGATATCTAGTTATGAAAGTTGTCTCAAGTCTTGGTGGTCATTGCTGGCATTAATTTGGGCGTTTGAAAGGCAAAATCAAAATCTCTTGAGTTGGAGCTCTTGATTGAGATGTCAGCGCATATGAGACATGGAACTCTAAAGATTCAAGAAATAATGTGTCTTGCAGCCATTAAGTTTATCGTTGGAAGCTCAATCTCTTGAACCAAGGTAACTGTTCTTCTATGATGACTTTCAGAAAAGAAGTTGAAAATTGAGGATTTTCCTCTCCGTTGAGATGTATGTTTAAAGTCTCCCTCGCTGCAAGACTTCTCTGTTGCAGTTTTTGTACTAACTAGAAGATAAATGTATTGAGCGGTACTGGTGATTCTCGGTTGCAGAGAAAAAATTTGGCTTCAGGTGTATACGTGTATACATTTGTCGTCTCTGTTATGCTTAAGTTTATGTGTTGTGATTATGGAGCTTAGCTATTGTCGACATGTTGCTGGCTTTGGATCTAATGGTTCTTTGATAAGCTTTCTTGGTTTTTTGTTGTTGTATGTGTCTTGTCTTGGCTTTTTGCCTTATTGAGACACACAATCAACAAGGGGGAGAAGTATGTTGAAACCAAAAGCTTAAGCTTCTGAGAAAAATTTGAAGCGGGTCAGAGTCAAACAAGAATGCTTGTCAAGGATGCTTGTCGTCTGGTATGAAGAAAAAGAAAATTTTCGTTTTGTTTTGCTTCGTCGGAGGTTCGATGAAGAACGGGATCACCAGAAAAGAAATTGGTCCGTTGACAGAGACACATGAGTTTGTTTTATTTATGAACATGACAGAGATGAACCAAGACAGATGGGTCTGGATTAAGTGCTTCAGTGTAGAAGAGTTGCTTGATATTGTAGGAGATTCATGGAGAAAATATAAACAAAGATGAATTTTTCAGAACTCTGAAATTAATCAGTGATGGAGGCGATATTGGCTATGACATACATGTTGGAGGATGTGTTACTGTTGATCGGGATTGCATCAGTGCTTGTCGCTATCGAATGAGAAAGAAGAATTTTATAATGGAGAAGCTCAACGGCAACAGCAGTTTCAAGAGAAAATCTTCGAAGGTTAAAGCGAAAGCTCAAGAATTTTCAGATATTAAAACAACTAGCCTATTTGCGTTTATGGAATCGAGAATAAGGTACTGGTAATGAAAGGTCTCATCAGAATACTGGAGAAGACTGTAATGAAACAATAATATGAAAAGTCTACAAAGGTGGGTGAGCAAGGTCGAAAGAATATTCTCATGGGTGATTCTTGGTTCTTCGTTTTCTTCTATAGACCTCGGATTTTATCTCTGAAAGATGTTATGAAAACTTGAGAATGAGATCTTTTCAAAGATATAAAGATCATTTTCTGGTTCCTTGTGGTTTGATGGGAAATCGCTCTTAAAGTTGGCTGCTCGCAGGTTTGTATCGTTCTGGATCTGTCTTGCAGAATTGATCATAACTTTCAAACCGTAAACCCAAATCGTGATCCGTTTTTTCTCGTGGCTTGGTATGACTGTTGTGGATATTTTCACCAAATTTCATAATTTTCTGGGTTGATTTGCTACTCCGTTTGTGTTCTGCATCAAGACAGATCAAGAAGTGTATGTTCATGAAGATTTCGTCAATATGCGCATTTTGGATACGTTGTGATATACTCTGGTTTATATTGCTCCTACGGCTCTAGCGAGGACAATATTACTTTTCTAGAACTGTTTGATGGTGGAGATCTCTAAGGTATCAGATTGTTCCAAGTTGAGGAAGGCATGAGATGAGGTCATTTTCTCAGGGCGATGAACATCAGGATCATAATGTTTTTAAGACGTTAAGTCTCAGTTTCCTCTGCAAATTACAAGTCTAAGGTGTAGATTGTGTGAAGATTCTGTCTCAGTGGAATGAACCTGATACTTGTGGATATTAAGATTGTTTCAGAGGTATAGCTTGTGTAACATAAGCATGGAAGAGTGAAGCGAAGAAGATCTATATTGCAACATCAAAGGAGGGAAGAGTTTTTTTTTACGGGATTGAAAAATTGCAGAAATTAGTTACGAGATGGGATCTTCGAGACAACGATTGGAGTCCTAAAAGTAATCTGATCGAGCTGAAACTTGGTAGTGAGCTTCTTGCTATTACTGTCTTGAGTGTCAACGGTGGGATTAATTTTTTGACAGTTGGATTGCGTTTTATTCGAGCGTGTTCAATCTGTTCCGGGCACATGTCAGCTGAAATTTCAGATCTGATCAGTTATAGTGGAGACATCAAATGGGCGACCAATTAAACTCGGAATGAAATGAAATTTTGCAGAGATATTCTAGACTTACGGAGCTAGATTCTGGTAGGAGGGCATTGGATTCGGAGTCCGAGAATAGAGTAGAATGATGGCGGTTCAGAGTAGTTAATTCGGAGACTTTTAAAGCTGTGTCTTGCAAAGGTGACTTGCAAATGATTCTAGAAGAGATTGTTTCAGCTTACTGTGCCCAAGAAGTGAATTAACAAGTTACTGTAAGTCCTTGTACGGCACTTTACTCTTGGGAAGTCTTCAGCTTCTGTGTATTTTAGAATTATGGACAACTTGCTAGGAGTTTACTCTTTGTTAAGGCTCTAGGATTCTAGAGAAGAACTATTGGTGAATGTGGAAATATAACAAAGAAGTTTCAGGAATCTGCAGTTTTCTTGTTTTCAAGTTGAAATTTTTTGGAATGAAGCTTATGAAGTGTCAAGAAAGAGAATCTTTCCTTTATAAGTGACAGATCACAAAATTTATGAAGCCTTCATTTGGTTTAAAAGAATCACGTGGCTGACGGAGTTATGCTTTCATCATCAAAGTGATAACATGGCTTCAATGTCTGAGTTTGATGCTTCTGCATACTCTGTGCTCTTTTGTGTTAGAAAAGAGGCTTGTCTGATAAAAAGAAAAGTTGTTTGCAGAAAGATGAAGAAACAAGCAGATTTCTGTTTTAGGTGGAGATAATTGATATGCATGTTTCAAAGGATGGTTTGTTGTGATTCAAAATGAAACAAGTCTAGAAAGCGTGTGTGTTTTGTTGAAACATTGAGAAACATTGAGTGAGATACAACATCAGATCATTTGTCAATGAAGGATTTGTAGAGGTTATATGGCTGGCGACAAGGACAAGTTTTCGGATTCACTGCATAAGAATGGATGAGATCTTCTCACAAGGATAAAGAGAATGTTACTCACGTTAAGACTGCCAGCGGACAATGATTAGTTGCAATTTGGGATTTCTGATGGGATTTAACGAAAAGTGTGATGCAAGCAGCACGCAAGGAAAGTTGTTAAAACAATAGTTTCAAGAACGTCATTGGATCAGTTGGTGTGAGATAGCTGAAAGGAAAGCTACCAAAAAGAGGTATCAAGTTCTGCTTTAATTAATGGTCATGAATTCAGCATCATTCGTCTTTCTCTTCTACACGAGTATGCATATTTTGGAAGGCTTCTCGTATTTTTCCGCTGCGCTGAGAAAGAATTGTATGGAAGTTTTACAGAAGTGTTCTGACTTCAGACCTGGTTTTAGACTCAACTTCAAAAAAATGGCTGTCCGGGAGACATGTGGTTGTTGCAATGTATGTGAAGGTTTGAGTTTCAGTTTGCAGAAGTATTGGACTAAAAGAGGATGAAGCTTGTTGGGGGAGCAAGGTTTGCTGCTAATGAACTGTTGAATCATGGCAAAATTTGCTGGTAATTCAAGGGTTGTGATCAAGGTCTAAAGAAATTTATTTCAGATAGACGCAGAGAAGTTTCAATGAAAATGAAATGAAGCAGCTAAGTTTGACTTATGACATGAGCTTATGTGTTCACTGGAAGAATCTGAGTTGTTTGTTTTCAAATCTGACAAACTCTATGTATTACAAGAACTTTGTGCACAGAATCAAGTGGAGAAAAGCAAGTGTTTCACAGAGTTTTACCAACTCAATCAGGGAGAGATACTGGTTATGTATGAGTGAGATGTAAAACTCAAGTGAGAAGACAGGGAAGTTGAAACAGAGGTCTGAAATAGTTGTGTGATGGTTTATACATAGAGTCTGTGATTTTTCTATGAAGGAGCATCCAAGCAGGGATAGAAAGTGATGCAGTGGTGTAGGGGGAGTGTTATCCGCCGTGTAGCTAACTCATATGGACGATTTGAGGTAAAGACTCTTTATTGGTGTTGATTTTGGTTATCAATTAAGCAGGTGAGATTTGCAATTGAAGAGAAACGTGAAGATATTAATCCAAGGAGCAGCTTTGGTTTGTATTGATTCATTTGATGCTTGATTATGATGAGTAGTGCTTTAAAGCCATGGATTATGTTGCTGATAAAGAGTAAGCATTATGGATGGAACTAACAAGTTAGAAAGCAAAAATTGGTAATCTATATCAGACGTGGATCTTTTTATTTTGGAGGTTCTTGTGCTTTAAGCTTTGGAAGGATGAAAATCATTGTAGAGCTCAAAGGGGAAGGCGTTTCTGATAGTGGAGTATGCCCCAACAAGTATAACTAAGCTCATTCTGCACTTAATGTTTTAACAGAGTTTTATCACTCAAGCAGGGGGAGATTGAGAAAGCTCCGTGAACAGATATTAGCACGATGATATAAAATTAAGGGAGAGCTTTTATGTCATGATTATTGATGGGTATGCATGCTTAACATGGAGAGCTTGAGCTGTAAAACTCAGTCAAAAAGGGAGAGATTGAAAGTGCAGATATTGTTGGAACAGGTGTTAAGCTGTTGGAACGAAAGATCATAACGAGATTTAGTCTTTCATAATGTTATGTTACGGCCACGTTGGTCGTGGGCCATTGTTCAAGTTAAGCCCAATTGCTTGTAGAGACTTGAAGCGTGGCTTAAGTCGTCTAGGGTTTTTGGCACTTGATATAAATACCAAGAGACGGCAACATGAAGACTTGCGCGTCTAGGGTTTATCGAGAGAGGCACACATGTGTGTGTGACGTTGCCCCATCAACAAGATAGAGAGATCTTTTGATGGTTTTGTTGAGAAGCTATACTCGTCGGAAAAGACAATAGGAGTAGTAGTTTTCGTTCATTGTAATTCTAGAAAAGAGTGGTGGATGCCATATAGCAATTGTAGGTTGCGGCCTTTTCTAGTGAATGATTTCTGGACTTGGTCCCGGGGATGTAGGTTAACCGAACCCCGTTAACAAATCTCTTGTGTCTCACTTACTTTATGCACATACAAACTCCATACACTCTCTCCTCATACAAACATATAGATCTAGCACACATATAGTATTTTCAATTCACAAGGAGAAGGGTTTGCTCAGAGGTCAGCTGATCAACAGCCATCGTGTAAAGAAAGCCACGAGAGACTAAATGACTCAGCGGAGACGGGTTCAGAGCTAGAGACGGACGGTTCACAACCGCCGAGATAGACCGGACTCGACCACATACGGAAGCGAGCTTAGTTGCTGACTTCCGCACGCCCCAAGCAAAAGCCATGGATTGATATTCTCTGGTTCTGAGAGAAAAAAACTGAGATTCAAGGGTTTTAGGGTTTTAGGTTTTTTAACAAAACTTTCAGTTTTAACTAACAAATAATGTGACTTACTGTTACATATTGAGTTAGGTAAATCTTTCTTTTTTTTGAGTGAATTTGTGTATTAACCATATGCGGGTAAAAAAAAAAAAAAAATGTACACTCTTGCACCAAAAGTAAGATCCATTTACCAAAATTAGTCTATAGTAAGATGAATATTTATTAGCTTCTCATCTTCTTGTCGTTGTAAGCAACCAATACCTTTCTAGTGTTAGATCTTTGGATTTGAGTTTGGACTGGCATTGGGAATCAGAAGTGAATATCAAAACTCGCATCTAAACTTGAAAGCCATTACCATAATTAAATTCTCAAAAGATTGTGCAAAATGCGAAAACACATTTGAATGCTAACAACAAACATAAGAGAGTTCGTTCATTTTTATATTTCTGATTCTCTTAGGTATCGAACCTAATACCACTTAGGTTCTTTCATAAACTTCTTAACACCTTTCAACCATACCAAGTACTCTCGCTTCAGTTTGCTCATCATGTACTTATGCAAGAAATTCGTTGTGCTTGCTTCAACTACGGTCTCCAGATACTCGTAGAACATCTTCTTCAGATCATTGTCCATGTCTCTGCAAAAGAAGATGAGAACAAAACCAACATTATAACCTTTCTGGTTTTACACTTGCAGTTATTATATAGAGTTTTTGATTTTCACAAAGCTTACTTGAAATGCCAATCATTCTTCAGTGTTCCCTCAAAAAAACCACCCGGATGATTCACTGATACAATATCTATGTTAATATAATCAGCAAAAGCTGTGCAGCTAAACTCTAGGCAGAGTCCGCTCTTCTTGGTTACAGTTACAATTAGTTTAATACTAATTGGTTCATCAGCAACAAGACTAGGCATGAAAGCTAAAACTTGAACATGTTCCTCCCTAACGTTTTCACCAGTGAATCTCACAAACTGAGCTCGAGGATCATCTTCAATATTGAAAAGGAAGCTCTCTGGAATCGTCTCTTTAATCTGCTCCCAATATAGTATAAGAAACAAAAAAATATTGTCTTAAAAGAGAGACACACATCTTCTCTAAATATACGAATTATGTATTTTAAGTATGGAACTATATAATCAGCGCAAGGTCCAACATTCAATATCGATTCTCTTCTTGAATTCATCAAGAACAAAGCAAACAAATTTATGTTTCTTGAGGAGCAAGATGCGAGAGACTTACATAGTGGAGATCATCGGATTTCAAAGCAGAAAGGATCTTGGAGTCAATCACGCCGAGAAACCTACGCTCAGAGTAATAAAAGCGACGTGAGACGAAGGGACGAAGCGGAGACGGACGGTTCACAACGGCGGAGATAGACCGGGCTTGACGACATGCGGAAGCCAACTTAGACGCTGACCTGCGTACGCACCAAGCTAAAGCCATAGCGCACTAAAGCAAAAGTGTGATTGATCCTCTTTGAAGAAAAATTAGGGTTTTAGCTTTTAGCTAGGGTTCTTTTACAAACTTCCGTGTAGAAATAGTTCATTATATCTAGTTGAATTTTGAGTACTGTTTGTTTTAGATTATTTATCAAGTAATTTGACAGATATTTTTAGACTTAAATTTTTTCTAAAAGTAATAAGTTCGATCTTTTTTTTTTTATCTAGTTGATAAGCTCAAGAGTAAAAAAAAAAAAAAACGTTTCTTTTAGTTATTTCCTACTCGATCCTTATCACTTTCTTTTCTTTTTATCTAGTTGAATTTTTATATGTATGTTTTTTCCTGATTCGATGTATTTTTTTTAACTCTTAAGCTTATCAGAATCTTTTTAGAATAATTGAAACTGTTTGGATTATGGAACTACGTTTGGTTTAGCTTGTTCATCTCAAACGCAATTTATATAATATTCTCAGAAAAGAAAAGGATAAAGAAAACAACTCTTCTTTTTTTTTTTCCCTCAAGAAATATATATATATATATATATATATATATATAATTTCCAAGGCCTAAGCCAGAGTCTCAATGACAAACATACATAAAAGGAGACTGATTCGTGAAGGGAAGAGAAAGATTGATCATCACATAGAAACAAAGTTAATCGTGAAAATATTACGTGCATGCACAACCGATGACAAAAATCTTTTGCAACACCCAAACTACTATAAAGTTATTGCATGGACAGACCCCGGAGATCCATACACAACACAGGTATGGGTTTCCAAAGGCAACTATTGGAAGTATAATACAGAATTGGTGATTCCTTTAGATTTTCCTGCAAAATATCTTTACCTAGAATTGTTTAGAAAATACTCTTGTAGAGATCCTGCAACATCAGATGGAGATGTTGCCATAGGTCGGGCTAAGATTCGATTGCCGACGGATGACAAGTTCTCTGGTGCAGCCCGTCTCGTCGATTTTAACAGTGATCGATGTATCGTGGATAGAGGAACTCTAGAATTGTCTTTGGAACTAATTCATACGGTTGTAGTAATATGAAAATTATCTTTGTCATCACTTTTTCTTTATTTCATTTTTAAATTTTTTGGGGGATTATTTATTAAGATTTATTATTAGTTGTGGTTGATTTGATATGAGTTATCTTTCTATACCATCTATTCGTTGTATATATCTATATCTAATTCTTGTTGGTCAGATATATTCGTTGTACGTAAGCAATTAAGCATAAATATCTAATTGATGAATTTTGTATACTGTTTGATAAGCAATCATTGCATGATCAGCCAAGAATGAATCATTGTAACTCTAAGTTATGTACCAAATTAAGTAGTCACTATAATAAGTACCAAACTAAGTTGATATAATTCGACTTATCACAGAACTCAGATGTTGATATAATTTGAATCTTCTTACGGATTTTCTGATCTTTTACATTATTAGAAAGAAACTTGATTTACCAGTAATGATGATTCATATCCAATAGGACGAAATAAGCCAATCTTTATAGGTTTTGGTAGTGAAATTACAACATCAGAGACATGTATGTATTGCCTCTAAGAAGGTAACAAAGCTCCCATCTTTTCCAAATTCCAATTCAAAGAGCTTCTCTATCTGTTGGCATCTTCAGAACCATAGCTTCACCATCTGCATAACACACAAATATATATGTCATCACACTAGTTCTTATCATTTTTATCATTTATCCAATACTTATCTAATGCTCTTGCAATTATGACTCCTTCAAGATATGAAAAAACGTTCTATGATTTTTTACTTACCCAATGGTGTGTATTCCGGCAAACTTACGTACTGGGGACATGATTTTCTCGACGTTAATTCTTTTGAACCAACACAGTCCCTAGGCTGTAGTCATAAAATATAAAAGACTGTCAGAAACTGGTGCCATTCTCAGAGTCTAGCAAAATGCTTTAACTTTAAACAAGGAAAAGCAATAAATAATGTCAATGATTAGCAAATCTTGCCAAACCAAGCAATTTCTACACACAGCTTTACGACGTTGTCTGACATTTCATAATGCCTGGGGTTGGGGACATGTTATTTGAGTTTTCTTATCATGGGAGAGCAATTTAAGACTTTAAAAGGAAATCAGCAATCTAAGAATGAAAGAGATATCGAATACAGACCTTAAAATCTTTATAGAAGCATATACGTATTTCATCGATTGCACCTTTTTTGCATACCACTTCAGGGGTGATATGAAATGCATTCTGAATGGCTGTTACGATACCTCCTAGAGGATACTTTTCGCTGTTGGAAGCAGCATAGCCAGCTTGATAAAGGACATCCTATTCCAAGATTTACAGATGCAGAGATTGTAAACTGGCATTAATAACTTATCCAACAGAGAGAAAAAAATGTACAAAAGTGTCTTCACAAACTGATAGATCAGAGGAAATATAAGATGCATTATCATTTACATCGTAAAGAAAAAATACATTTCACAAGAATGCAAGCAAATAGTTAACACATGTAAATCTTGTGTATGCCCAATTTCTCTTATTTAACCAACCCACTATGCATAATATCATAACATAAACTCAAAATCAGTGAAGACTTACCGTGACATTATACTTCAAGTAGATATTAAGCGTGGTAAGGAAGTAATTATACTCATCATGAAAAACAGGAGAAGAACAAGTCCCATGTTTCTCTGAAAATAAGAAATTATCAGCACAATCGTTAGAGAGAGAATCTATGTTATCGAATTAGCATAATCAAACCAGAACGTATTGTGCTAACTAACAAACTGTTTAGCAAAAGGTTCTGAGATTAAGCTCTCTAATAACACCAATGAATCAAACTCTATATAAAATCATTTGGAAGGAAATCGAAAGAAAAATCAAGCTAAAGAAGTAAAGATTGAATATAATTACCCCACTGCCAGCGTGTATTGCAAAGAGATACATGACAACCAAAAAATGAAACTCAGTTAGTTTTGGTGAAGACTGGGAGATGGAAACACCTATCCGTGAAAAGTTTACAATAGATGTGAAAAAATAATCACCTCATGACCCCAAAATGACCCTTTCCCACCATTGCATGATGATGGAGAACCACAACTGAGACTAGGCCAGTACTTCTCAAGGCCATCCATCAACGTTGAAATCTGCAAATTTATTCTCCTTTCAGAATCTTCTCATAAGATATAAAGACATGACTTGTATTACCATCTATCAAATCTACTTAAACTTTTTGGATACTCCCAGGCCAAATTAAGAATGTTTTACCTCCTTCTCGTTAAAGTCAGATCGATAACAACACGAAGGCCATGAACCATCGTTATAGTCAGGCCATAACCCATCTACAAGATTAGATTTAAAGATAATTAGGTTGCATAGTTTCAAACTCAAACACACACAAACATTGATTCCTGAAACTGAAACTAAGATTCAAAGAGTTTACTTACGAATTGTGAATTGCGTTGGAGCATCGGAGCTGGAGAAGGAAAAATAAACAACGTAAGTTAGTCTAAGGCCAAATCTTTCTCAAATAATCTCTGATCTGTTCCAACATCTAATGAATTCAGATCCTTAGCTACCCGAGACATGAGCATCGACAACAATTTCAATCTGAGATTGGAGATCGAGATCAAAGAAGAGAAATTTACCCTCTGCAGCAAGCGTTTTTGGAGCAACAATGGCGAGTTCCACGGCAATAGGTTCCGGGCCATTGAAGAGAGAGAGCGAAATAATCGAACTCCCTCTGAGATTTATTGACTTCGATGACGTCTCCGGCAAATGCTCCGGCGAGAAACACAACGAGAAGGAGAAGACATATACGCGACGCCATTGACTCTAATTGGATTGAAACCGTTTTTTTAGCTCCGATTCAGATCGGGTCTCTGTACATTATGTGGAGGGAACGCAAGGGTATTTTAGTCTTTTCACTCGTCAAACGAATATTCCTCTATACATACCTTTGGATTTGGATAAACCCAATGGATCTTTGAAAAACAGAATTGTTGCTTGTAATTTCTAAAGACCTTCTAGGATTTTCAATGGTCATGTTTTTTTTTTTTTCTGCATCATGCTATTTTCGAGTTTGTATAATGTACTATTGAATTTTGAATGTTCAGAAAAAGCTTTATAATTAATGGATATTCAAAAGTATCTCACATAAACTGAGAATAGTTTTAATAAATTACAAAAACAAAAAGAGACAAAACACCAAATGACCCTAACAAGATATACAGCGTTTTGATTGATGCTTGCTTATTCAAAAGCCAATAAGAATAACGAAAGCGATTTTAAAGTTGAAGAAAGGACACACAAAAAAAAAAAGTTGCACATATAATATCACATTTTTCACATCACTATCTCTGGCTTCAAGATGTTTGATTTGATCTCCTTGTGTGGTAAAACAACTCCTCCATTGCTATAGATCTCATCGCTCACATGAACATCTTCTCCAAGGATCGTCATGTTCTCAATCCTGGCCCATTGTCCAACCGTTGAGTGCCACCCGATGATACTGCTCGAGATACATGCATGCTTCTTGATGCGGACTCCACGCATGACCGTGCATCGCGAGAGCCTGACTCCTGACTCAACAATGCATCCCGGACCAATGGCAACGTCTGGTCCAATCAAACATCCTTCCCCAATCGTAGCGGTTTCATCAACAAGAACATTCCCAACAATGTGTGGACCACTGGTTAACTTGGCAGGAGATTTCTTTCTAAGGGAGTCTAAGTAGAGTCTCAAACCGGTTATGTAGTCACGGGGTTGCCCAATGTCCATCCAAAATCCCGGTAGGACCATAGCATAGAGCCCTTGCGCTGCTGCAATCTTAGGGAAGGTCTCTTTTTCGATCGAGGTCGGTCTTAGCTCAATCTTGTCAAGAACAGATGGGTTCAGAAGATAAATCCCAGCGTTGATCTTGTTGCCTACATACAGTTTTGGCTTTTCCACAAACTTCTCCACTTTTCCTGTACTTTCTTCCATAACAACCACTCCATATTTAGACGGTTCATCCACCTATAACCAATACATGCAAGTCCATATTAGGTGAATAACATACTTCTCTCGTAACTGGAGAGTATTAGGTTCGATAGTCTCACCTTTGTCACCATTATGGAGGCTTCCCCGCCGTGAGTTTTGTGAAACTCAAGCATTTCTTTAAGTGGGTACTCACTAATCACATCACTGTTAAGAACAAAGAAGGGCTCTCCAGATCCATCAACCAATTTGTCTCTCGCTAGAGCCAAAGGACCAGCCGTACCTAGTGGCTCGGTCTCTTGTGAGCAAGTGATTTTGATTTCGAGCTTGGTCTCAAAGTCCTTCAAGAAGTTCAGCATCACCTGTAGAAGCAGAGCAAATGGTAAATACAAACATGTAAACAGAAAATAGCTGCAAAGAAAAGTTAGGAGATAGTATCTCACCTCTGGCTGGTAATTGATGGCCAAAACCACTTCATCAACTCCAACTGCCTTAAGAGCCTCTATCTACAAGAATACATGCCTCAGTTAAAACATAGATCATGAAAAAGATAATAATCAGCATAATTTAACCTGCAACAGAATTTTTTTAAGATAGTTTACCTGATGAAGGATCATGGGTTTATTTGCAAAATCAACGAGCGGCTTTGGGAAACTAAGAGTCAATGGTCTCAACCGAGTGCCGAAGCCTCCAACAAGAATGAGTGCCTTCATCTTGATTGCTCTAACTCCTTTTCCTGCAAATGCAAAACGTCAGATCTTAACAATGCGCAGCTGCAGAACATACTGATAACAACATCAAAACAGAGTCTTCGATAAATATACTTCAAAGACTGTTTTAATGTTGTTATCACATACTTCAAAGAGATAACCGGAGACCTCAATAGACACAAAAAGCTAAGGAGACAGTAAAATCTATACAAAATTATCAAGTCTGAGCCACATTTTGGGATCCATAACGTGGGAAATTGACTAAAGAAACAGAATAAAACGATTACAACGGCAAATTCGGTGACTGGTGACAAACAAGCTAGAAACAGAACACCCACAAAAACGTGCATTCAGATCTGATTAAAGTAGATGTAATCGACACGAAAACAACAAGCTATACACAAGTCAGAGAGAAAGGTCAATGAATTCAGATCTACAACACAAAAACACGAACATTAAATCAGACAACAACAACAAAAAACTGTTCTTGCCAATATTCTGCTGCCGATCAGACAACAAACAGCTTAAATCATGCTGCTAAAAACGTTAAACCACGCAATAAATCAATGACCTTAATAGTACCACAATCAAAATTGAAGCTTTAAACCCAGATCGGAGAAAAAATTCAGGAAACCAATTGATCATCATTTTAAGATTAAACATAATGTCATCGAATCAAGCACGCAATATTGACGAATCGAATACAAATCTGAGCCAAAAACATCGAAATAAACGAAAAACCGATAGAATTCAAATCACAATCGATGAAAATTGAAGGACATCACAAACAGAGAAGTAACCAAAATTGCAGGGGCATTACCTTGAAAGAGATCTCACCGGATCAGAGATCTGAGCTGGGAAATGGCTGTAAAATGGAAGAGATCAGCCTGAGCGGTTTGCGTCAGGCTGAGCTGTGATGAAAGAAAGAACGTTCGTTGGCAAAATGATAGGCAAGTTTTTTCCAAAGGAGACCTCTTTCGTTTATATACACCGTCGAGAAAATTAAAGAGAAAAAAAAAAGAGTGCGTATTTACCAAAATAAATAATTTAATACTACTAATATACTTACAAACCAATCTTGATTTTTATTTACAAATGTTGAATTTGACTATTTTTTTTTTTGGGAAGTGAATTAATTAAAGGTCACGTAGACGCTTATACTCCAATCTTTCTTTTTGTTCGCTCCATCTTTCTGCAAGCCATTAATGCTTTTTTTTGTTCTATGAATTCATATTTTATAGATAAGGGGTTTTGACAAAAATAAATACGAATAATAAATGAGAAAATGATTTTGCAATTGTAAATGCCAACAAGAAACGTAATTAATGTTGTGTTTACATTTACTATTTGTAAATGATTTGTTTCAGAGAGAGTATAAAATTCCTAACTCAGTTGTATGAAGAATGTGTAGTGATCACTACTGATCGACGACTCTGATGAACTTTATAGAGTAGTGAACCAACCAGTCGATAGACAAATATAAGTTCACATGCTCAAGTGGGATGAAGAGAGACATAGGAACCCACATATATATAGACGATTAGGACATTCCATTAATGAGTACAATGATTAATATACAGAGTAGTTTGATCGATACATCATTCATTCTCACCGTATTATCAGAACGAAAAACAACGGGTAAAAGACACTTAAAATTCTAAAAACATCCATTCAGAACGAAAACAATGTTTAGAGAAAGTCAATTATTTCACCTTGATAAAAAGTCGAATCAGGGGTGGACTCACGTTGGTGGGTGTGGTGGCAACTATACCAACTATACTATATATATTTGAAATTTTACGTAAGGACTTATAACTAAAATGGTCTGATGGTTTGAAGTGTCCTACTAATTGTTTAAGGTGACGGGTTCGATCGGCGGACCTAGGAAATTAGTTAAATAGGATACATCAAACCATTATATCATTTTAGCTATTATTCCTTATGTAAAATTTTAAATATTCTATATAGTTTAATGGGTGCACTTGCCACCACACCCATCAACATATTGTTGTAGTAATATCTTTAACTTCAAAATGAACTAATAGACCTACATTGTGACAGTGTTATATAAGATCTTCAAAATCAACTTTTATCAATAACATGATTTACCGTTTTTCGTTATCCCAAAAAAAAAAATGATTTACCGTTTTATGTATATGCATGACTACAAGTTCTCTTTGAAAGTTTGAATCCAAAATCAGCAATCTTTTGTATATTTCGAGTTATGAATTTTGAATTTAAAATTAAAATATTTGAAATAATGACAATCGACACATTTAATAGAATCTACATTTAGAATAATTGAATTATTGTGGTTTTGGCAAATGATAGTGGTATCATCGTCGAATTTTTCTCTATATATTTTATTAAACTTATGCTCTTTTGTCGAATTGAAGGTGTTATTTTGTTAGTTAGTTTTTCTTTCCACAAACTAACTTTTCGATATATCTCTCTGTGTGTATGGGTATAACATTTCTACATCAAAACGAGATATTTTATCAGCTTACCAACAAAAATTAACTACTAACATTACCAAAAAAAAAAATTACGTTCTAATAAATTTAACTAAATGAACTTAAACAGTATTTTATCAACTTTCATTCAAAGAAACTATTCAGTGTCGAAAAGGATTATTTGTTTTCCTTCCTCCCCAATAACCAAAACTATATATTTCAAGTTAATCAGTTTAACATGGATTCAAAAGCCAATATTTTGGTAATATAATAATCAAATCGTCTAGACTTTTAAGAATTTTGGATTTTAGTAATCTTATAATTGAATAACACAGATAGAATCTCCAGGATTCGATTTGAGTATGGAGCAGTAATATAGAAACGCATTCGTATTGTGTAATGTCTCTGTTATGAGGGCCAGTCGTTTGGATAAGAGCAAAGCTGAGGCTGTGAACACTAAAGAGCTGCAAAGAATATACCAAATTTGATCCATCACATGATTCACATTTTTTTTTGGTTAAACTCTCAATTTTGTTTTTCCAATTATTGTTCGTTTGTTTTCACCTGTTCTTCCCCACGTGACACCGACAAGCTACCTTCGTTTTTTTTCTTTTTCTTATTCTCCTTCAAAGTACAGAGTGGTGCATGTTAGTAATTTTAAAGAAACTGATTTGTCTATTTAGATCATCAAGATGTTCTGGTGTTGGACCGGTTTTTGATAGAGATTTTTGGTTTAAGAATAATGGTTGAGAATTCTTTACATATATATGTACATAGGGTTTTCACACCTTGAGATTACATGAATGATTTTTTTTTTTTTTGCTTAATGGAAACTGAATACTAAGAGTCTGTAGAAACCGAATGTTGTTATCAAGCATATAATTACCTATGAATAAAAGATTCAATACTACAATATTATATCATAACGTATATATTATGATTTATGAATAAAAAGAAGAATAAAGAACGGCAGATCTAGCGTTTAAAAGCATAGTCCATTTTGACAAATACACGCCACCATCAAACGCGGTGACCCCATATGCATACAAACATAATAACTACTATATAAATTTTGGTTAATTTAATACAATAGTTTAGAAAAGTTATATGAATGAATATAGAAATGAAAATAAAGTCACAAAAAGAGAAGTTGTGGAAAGATACCAAAGCAACATCGTAGTTAGGCAGCACCTTGATTTCAGCTTTGACTCACCGACGTTTTGCGCCCATAGATTCTCTTCTTCTTTAAGCCGTACTTGTATCTTAATCATCACATGATAGCTTATGTTACATATAGTCAAACATGCTTTCATATATAGCGACTTGATTAATTTCTATTTATGCTATATAATTATCTATTTTAATATATTTCGAACTAATATCCAATTTTTTTATAAAAAAATTCAGTTCATCCTATATGGTTTGTCTCGGATAAAAATTAGTTTCGGTTCAGTTTCTGTTTTTGTTTTTTTCCTCTAAATATTATAGTTGAATTTGGTTTAAGCGTTCTTTTGGTTGTTGTTTATCTACCCACTCTTTAGTTTTAAACATCGATGAAAGAAGAATTAACTCTTCTAAAAGAAAATTAACTCAGCTGATCTTTTTTGTGTGTTTGAGAGGACACATAAATTAACTCTTCTTTTTGTAGTCGGACGACATAGTTAACTCTTCTTGTGGAGATTGTACTTTCTTTTGTCCAGGAATGTAAAATGATTGACACAAACAATTTGGTTCAGTCTTCATGCTTATATAATTCTCACTGGTAAAATTTTCACTGAATGACTTGGAAGAATTCATAAATTCTGCATGAAACACAATTCATAATTCATAAATTTTGCATACGGTATGTAATGAGAATTATTTATTACTCTTCACTCTTTACGACTTCATTATGGGAATACGGTATTCAGATTCTCAATTTCACCATAAATTTCAAAGCTTTTTATAAACACACAAACAACTCCAAAACTGAAGAGAATTCAAAGACCAATTAGGGACAAGGTACTTACTGAGAAGTAAAGAGAGATGTCTATTGCCTAAAGCTTTACACTACCGTTGACATACTACGAACAATTATTCATTACAATAAAATGGTTTAGCAAATACAAACTTGGTGTATGCTTTGCTTCCAGATCAGTAAAGTAGCATCATAGTTCATATCAAACGGGTCAAAACAAGGCGCAAGGAAATGCTTACTACTAGCATTTGGATCGATCCTATGTGCTATGTCCTCCTCCTCACTTGCCTCACATTTGTAGTGTCACACCCTAATACACTGCTAGCACTTCTTTTCTTGTTCGATTGTCCGCTCGTCGAGCTCTTGTCTCCTGCTGCAACAGTGTTCAGCAACTCAGACAACAAAGTGGGACAGCTCTGTTTCAAGTGCTTGAACCCTTCAGACTTCATCACAGCTGCATAAAACAACATTACATACTTTTTAGTTTCCTGGTTTCTCTTCATCGATAATATCATCCAACTAATAACACTCTCTTACACCCAAACAAAAGTCCACCATGTTGGAAAAGAACATATCCATATTCACCAGTTTCAGTTTTAGAGAAAGAAAGAAATATCTAGTTTAAGTTCTGAAAATGATTGTACTACCTTTAGATGTGAATAGCAGCATTTACGTGAAATTCAACATTAAGACCAGGACATGTGGTATAGAATCTCTATCTTCCAGAATGTAAAACCTCTGTTACCCATTGGCTATGCATTGTTAACTTTAAACTAGATTGTCAAGAAAAAAGAATCAAAATAACTATTTATCGCACCTAGTTGAGGATGATAAACCTCAAGCCGTCTAATCAAGCATCGAGTCTCCTATATACAAATCGAACATAAGAACAAGAAAGTTAAATAAGTATACTAGAAGATAAGCTATAGGTAACATATACAAAAAAACGAATTAGCTCACAAAACTCCCATCGATAATAGACCCGACATCTTTAATGGATCGTTATTGCAACAAGCAACAAGCACCAAACACCAAATGCATTATATAAACCGGATCATACTAAAAAGGCAGATGATCAATCATACAAGGTTTAGATATCATTTGAAATCTTAAAAATATACTGGATTATATATATAGTTTCATAAATTTGTTCTCTCAATTACTAATGCCATTGTTTTCTAATGTCAAAGTATAGCTCAAGTTGTAGGTTGATGAGAAAAAATTCCATGGTAGTGTGGCACCTTTAAATAATTCTTACCGCATTAATAGCAAAACCAATACAATTCAGGACCTATACAATCTACCATCTCATCACATGATAACAATGTTGCAATTAACGCAAGAAAACACGCGTAGAAACATGGAAAACGCAAGAGAGTCTATATAGGCATATAAAAGTGCAGACTGAAAAAACCAGAAAATATATGCAACACGTACCTCCCAAGTTTGCTGGAGATGCAACAAATTTTAAGCAGAACGCTTTGAGCTGTAAGAATTGGTGTTGTTCAGCCAGCGCAAGTGTTGTTGCCACATTATCAACATCGAGTTTTTCGCATAGCAAAACTTCACATAATATCTTTAACCTTGCAAGGTCATAAAGGTCAGCAGCTGCCAAGAGATGTTGTATCATGTTTGTGAACGAACTGGCAGAAGTTGACCCAGTAATTTCATGCACATCAGGAAGTACATCGGTGTAGATGAAGCTAAGCATAGCCTGTAAAATTTCAAGATCCCAAGTCAGCAGAACTGTAGTTGCATGTACAACCAACTATTCACAATGTAATATTGAACCAAAAATACCTTGAAGATAGAAGGTTCAATGTCGTCTATCACTATTCTATCCACATTGTTATTCCCAATTGGTCCAAAAAACTGAGCTCTAAAAACTGGGGAGCGTGCCGCGAGAATCAATTTGTGAGCTTTGTATGTTTCATCTCCGACTTGGAAAGCTATGTCACAACCAACCTCAGAATCTAATAAGTCTTTCAATCCCTGACCCATATTCGACAGGGGTAGCACAATGCCATACTGTTTTGGACCCTCAAGTCGGGCTCTAACAACACCAACAGTACAATTGATGACAAGACAATCATCCTTTAAGTAGTCAGATGTTTCTAAAGCTGATCGTCTGAAAAAGCGTTTGTAACCCCTGAAAAATTCGTGATGATAAGTCATGCTAGAGAAACACCAACTTCCAGAAGGAAATCTTATTGTACTGTAGATATGTGATGGTGAGTCAAGAGTAAAAACATAGTTTCAGGGAAATGACTCAATGTATGAACTCAACAGATGATGCAAGGCTTCATATAAAGATTCACGAAACTTCAAAAGCAACATTTTACACACCTTAAACCTCTCAAGGGATTCAAAAGCCATACTTTAAAAAAGAGAGAGAGAAATAACAATATGAACCATATAATTATAATCTTGTGCTTTACACAATTTTAGCCGTAAGAAAACAAAAGCACAAACACATTGACAAAGTTCCTTCATTGCTCATTTCCACAGGAAACTCTTCTTCAAAGTAAAACATCGACATGCAATTCAAGCAGAAGATAAACAACATTGCTAAAATCAAAATGCAACAAACCACAGTAACCCCAACAAATGCGATTATATCATACTCCAACATCAAAATGAAATGGAACCGAAGCAATTACCACATGCTTCCTTTATACTTGAGCGTATAAGGTCCACCTTCAAGCGCCCGATCAAAATGACTATGCACCTTATGCTTCCCTTTCCCACTCTGATCCATAAGCGTCAGCTCAAACAAAGCCCTAATATCATTAGAATCACTCGCTAAAGCGATGAACAAAGAGATATACAAGGACTGGTCCTCCGGGTTCTTCCCGTCAGGATAGAAGTAAATCGCCCAATCGTATCCACCGACGGAGAAAACATCGCTCTGTATAAACTTCCCAGGGCTCATGCCTTTGGCTAGAGAGTAACCTTTAATCGTAAACTGGTGCGAACCATTCACCGTCTCGATGAACGACGTCGATACGGAATCAGGTATCAGCTGCTCTAGACCTCCGACGGTGCTCATGATCTCTCCGTCGTCGATTACGAAGAATTTTCCGATTTGAGAAATGTGAAATTCATGGATCGAAAAATTGGATTAACCTAGAAGAAGAAGAAGAAGACGAGAGGTTGCTTGTGAAATTATGAGAATTTGGGGGAAACTGTTTTCTTTTAATTTTTTTTTTTAATGTAATGGACTCGAAAGCAGTGGGGTCCAACGACCATAAGCCAACATTATTGTACATTGTTAATTTCATTTAAACCTATGTCTTTTTTTTTCAATCTTAGAAGAAAATTGGGATTAAGACCAACATTTTAATGTGGGTATTAACCATAAATATTCTATAATATGATTATGATCAATCAGTTGATAAGTTAAATTTTATTTTTCAGTTTTTTTTAGTATCTTTTTAAGTTTTTATCAGTTTAACAAATTATCATGTACTGAAATAAATTTATCATTTTGTTGAATTACATTTTAACTCTTTTCACAAGACATGCTATTGAATAATTTTTCTTACAAAATTCATAATTTTATCTGTTAGAAAAATGTTAAATAATCATTTACATATAAAATGTATCCATTTTTTTACGAATGTTTTCAAAGAAAATAATAATTTAAGATTCTTTTAGAGTTTTGAAAAAAATCCAATTAACTTAACAAAAAAAAAAAAAAAACATCCAAATAATGAAAGACCCTTTTTTGTATAAAATTTTCTGCAACTTGTAACTGAATCTGAAATTCTGCAAATTCTTTTGTAATGTTTTTGTTTTTTTTTACCGAACGCTAGAAAACTCCAAAAACAACAACTGTAAAATTAATTACACTAATAATCATCCTCTTTTGCCAGGAATGATATAACACGAGGAACTTGCTTTACTAGAAGAACACTAAGCAGCAGATCCAGAGATCGGTGATCCTTCACACGCAAGCTAATGAAGCCTCTCCCTAATGGCGATCTCCTCAAATCCCCCACTCTGATCAAGATCTCCGCCTTACTTTTCGTCACCGTCGCTTTCTTCTACTTAGGCAAGCATTGGTCCGACGATGGTTACCAACAGCTCGTCTTCTTCTCCTCCTCCACCTCCGGCAGCTCGATCCCGGAGGTCTCCGTCTCACCGAATAGTAACAGAGTCTTCAATTTATCTGCGATAATTCCTGCTAATCATACCGAGATTGAAATCCCCGCTACAACACAACAGCAACCTCCGTCGGTGGTGGCGGTGGCGGTGGCGGAGACGGAGAAGGTTAAGGTGGAGGCTAATCCTCCTCCTCCTTCTCCTCCACCTCCTTCTCCTCCTCCGCCTGGTCCGGTTAAGAGCTTTGGGATAGTAGATGAGAACGGTGTGATGTCTGACGATTTTGAGGTGGGTGAGGTTGAGAGTGATACTGTGGAAGATTGGGGGAATCAGACGGAGATCGTTGAGTCGAAAAGGGACGGGGATTCGAAGGCTAGGGTTAGAATTAAGAAATTTGGGATGTGTCGTGAGAGTATGAGAGAGTATATACCTTGTTTGGATAATATTGATGCGATTAAGAAGCTCAAATCTACAGAGCGAGGTGAGAGATTCGAGCGTCATTGTCCTGAGAAAGGTAAAGGCTTGAATTGCTTGGTTCCGCCTCCTAAAGGTTATCGTCAGCCGATTCCATGGCCTAAAAGTCGTGACGAGGTACTCCTTTGTTTGCTAATTTTGGTTGGAAAATTCTGATAACATGTCTTGGGATTAGCTTAAGTAGTAGTATGTGGAATTTACTTATGGATAGGTGTGGTTTAGCAATGTTCCTCATACTCGGCTTGTTGAAGACAAAGGTGGTCAGAACTGGATTTCACGAGACAAGAACAAGTTCAAGTTTCCTGGAGGTGGTACACAGTTTATTCATGGGGCTGATCAGTACTTGGACCAGATGTCTAAGGTTGCTCATTTTTCCAAGTAGTAGTTCTTGCTTTTCGCGTCACCTGTCTATGTATCGTTTCATCTGATGTTGAACTCCGGAGTTTGTGTCTGCAGATGGTTTCTGATATCACGTTTGGCAAGCATATTAGGGTTGCTATGGATGTTGGTTGTGGTGTGGCGAGTTTTGGCGCTTATCTATTGTCTCGCGATGTCTTGACAATGTCTGTTGCACCAAAAGATGTCCACGAGAACCAAATTCAATTTGCTCTTGAGCGTGGTGTGCCTGCTATGGCGGCAGCATTTGCGACAAGGCGTTTATTATACCCAAGCCAAGCTTTTGATCTTATACATTGTTCAAGATGTAGAATCAACTGGACTCGTGATGGTAAGGTTCTCTGGTGTGCTTGATTCTTCACCTAATACAGCAGAAAAAGATTAATAAGTTTGCACCTACTGTAGTTTTAACTCCTTATGTGAACTATGCTTTAGCTTCTATTACTTGTACAGAAAATTCTCACTCTGCTGTTTCATTCTTTGTGATAAAGATGGAATATTGCTACTTGAGATCAACAGAATGCTGCGCGCTGGAGGATATTTTGCTTGGGCTGCACAGCCTGTTTATAAGCATGAACCTGCTTTAGAAGAACAATGGACAGGTAACATCCTTTTAATCTGCTTTGAGTGGGCCTGTAATTCAAGGTGAATAAAATTATTTGTTCTTAACAAACTTTTGGAGTTAGTGATCATGGTATGTAGCTTTATTAATAACCACAGTTTGTCTCTGTGAGTATAAGAGAGTTTTTTTTATTTTATTTGCTACTTTGATTTAGCCAATATGTCTGCTTTTTTATCTCACATTTTGTTTTCCAGAAATGCTGAATCTTACTACTAGCCTTTGCTGGAAATTGGTAAAGAAGGAAGGATACGTTGCAATCTGGCAGAAGCCTTTCAACAACGACTGTTATTTGAGTCGTGAGGCTGGGACTAAACCTCCTCTTTGTGATGAATCTGATGACCCCGATAATGTTTGGTACAGCTGCTAAGCTTTCTGTTTTTCTTTGTTTGTGATACAAGGACATATCTTGCTACCTGCATGTGGAAGCATAACAACAGAATAATGCTATATGTTCTTAATGCTGTCAGAGTTGCATCAAAACTTTTTTTCAATTTAATGTGTTTGATTGCATCTAGTCTGTCTGTTAACTTGTCTGTGACAATGTGTGCAAAAGATCACACTTTTGATGTCTCATTTGTTCTTGTTTTAGGTACACAAATCTGAAACCTTGCATCAGTCGCATACCTGAGAATGGATATGGAGGAAAGGTCCCCTTATGGCCTGCCCGCCTGCATACTCCACCTGATAGGCTGCAGACGATAAAATTTGATTCCTACATTGCTAGGAAAGAGCTATTCAAGGCAGAATCAAAATATTGGAATGAAATAATTGGGGGATATGTTCGCGCCTTGAAATGGAAAAAGATGAAACTAAGAAATGTTTTGGACATGAGAGCAGGCTTTGGCGGGTATGAAATAATATTTTTCTGTTAGTTACTATGACGGTATTATACCTCGGTATCTTAGCTTATCTCTCTTCATTTGATTCCCTTGGCTTTGGCAGATTTGCAGCTGCACTAAATGATCATAAACTCGATTGCTGGGTTCTAAGTGTGGTTCCTGTCAGTGGGCCTAACACATTGCCTGTCATTTATGACCGTGGACTGTTAGGAGTTATGCATGATTGGTAATGCTTTTCTCCTTAGAATCTGTCATATTTAATCAGAATTTTGAATCCTATACTTTGGAAATTAGTGATTCCTCTTGTTCTTTTCCCTGCTCATGTTTGATTTAAACACAAAATTTCATCTTTTTATGTGTCTTAAGGTAAACTAAGATTTAGTCTCTGGCTCTGGATATTTGTTTAAAAAGTTATGCATTCTACCTCAGGTGTGAACCATTTGATACATACCCACGGACATATGACTTCTTACATGCCTCTGGACTCTTCTCAATCGAGAGAAAAAGGTAAGCATTATCTGTAACTCAAGTTCAAAGTGATTTATAACTTAATCTATGATCGTTTGGTGCCTATAATTGAGTTTAACCATTTGACTTTTGTCTGAATAATGGTTAACAATGTATCAGATGTGAGATGTCAACCATATTGTTAGAGATGGACAGGATATTGAGACCTGGTGGAAGAGCATACATTAGGGATTCAATTGATGTTATGGATGAAATTCAAGAAATCACAAAGGCTATGGGTTGGCATACTTCTCTGCGTGACACATCCGAGGGTCCTCACGCAAGTTACAGGATTCTAACATGCGAGAAGCGTCTCCTTCGAGCTTAATACCAGACAAGTTACTGCACTTTAGTCAACACAATATATTTTGTTTGGTAATATCTCTTATTGTTTTCTTCTTTTTTCTCTTTATGTAACTGTAAATTGGATTATGGTGTTTTACTGAGTAAAGGTTTAGCTAGGTCTCAATTTTTAGTACAACATTCTGCTATTGCAAATCTGTTGATTGTAACAAATGGATCCATAGAAAAAGAGCCCGAAGGTCAGAATACAAAATCATCCAAAAATATGTGAAGGAGTATTTCTGAACCATGTCTGCACAACTCATTCTACTGCTCATGTCTCGGTCTCCACATCTGTCCGCCTTGGCTAGGAATTTTTGATGCAGGTCTTGCAGAGTTCACACCATTCATATATGCAGGTCTTGCAGAGTTCACACCATTCATATATGCAGGTCTTGCAGAGTTCACACCATTCATATGACCTGATGGCTTACCAATGTGACCCTGATTCTGACTTGAACCTGCAGATGTATCTTTAAATGGTCGGTTCCCGTTCTTGTATTGACTCTTCTGCTCCGTTTGAGTTTGTGTGATTACAGGCCAAGTTCGGCCTTGGACAGGTGGTTGCCCCTGAAGATTCCTGGGGTTGTTCTGAGGCCAGTTCTGTTGTGGTCGGGATTGTGTTGGAGATGGCCAATATGGTGGATTTTGGGTATTGTAGCTCTGTGACCAATTTTGCTGCATTTGCTGGTTCCGAGGCCTAGCCTGACCATGCAGATTATGGACATTGTGCATACCGTTTGCATGATGTTGACTATGGAGGCTTATTGTTCTATACAAAGACTCTTGAATGTGTTGCCCTGTCAGAACCCCAATGATGGAGTTCCTGTTACAATCTGAGAGAAGACGCTGCGATGTAATCTGAAATACTTGAGCTATTCTATCCAAATTTCTACGGCTCACACTCCTTGCAGCGTTCACCGGTTGCTCAAAAGGATCTTCAACCTGAAACACACACCATTCCCACACCTTAGCCGGGAGACTCACGTGGTGCCACAGAGATGAATATAACTCAACAAGAGAGTAAGAGAAAGAAAGAGACTTACAAAGAGTGAGTATGTCTTTGGCAGCCATGTAGTGTTGCTGCTTATGTTTTCCCATCTTCCAGTAAACGGGCAAACACCGAGCTCTTGGGCCTTCACGTTTATGTCTGAAAACTGATAGATACAGCCACATAGCAAAATCAAGAGACTAATTTCTATCAAGAGTACTATAATAGATATCATTAAGGGAAACAAAAAATTTAAAGCTACAATGTATGAGAAATCAATCACCTTTGCAAAAAACGAGACCAAAAGCTCCGAGAGCGAGCTTCGATTGACTGATTTTGCTGTGTCTAATTTAAATCTCGCAATATTAGCAGCAGTAACTTGCGCTATGCTTTCCTCTGCAGTTTTTCGTACACCTACAAGAGACCATGCTACTAAAACTTTTGTCCCTTTACCCAAAAAAACTCATAAATTTCGTGTTGTTTGGCTTCAAAACCTTTTCATAGAAGGTACCTGTCAGATCATCAACCGCACTCTTTGGATATATCACTCTTAGAGGCGGCAAGATTGCAGGCACACAAGTCTGCAACAAACAACATAGAACATCTTAAGACACCATGGTTTATAATGATGCAGTAACTGAAGGCTGAACTGAAGGCAGCGGAATCTATGAATATAGAACAGCTATCTTACCTGAAGATGGAAGATGACTAACAAACTGAGAGAGTAAGAGTTGAAAGTCCCGTTCTTTGAGTCGTTGATATTATGAGCTTTCGCCCATTCCTTCACCTATAAATGTAGAATACACGAGATAGATAAGTTTAGAATCAATTAAGCCTTTAAAAACACACAATCTGATTTTATTTGGATGTTAACTTACTAGCAAAACCAGGTCGCGGAATCTCCCATCTATTTCACTGATCCAGAACAAGAACCTGCTCTTCAAAAGCCCATCCAGGTTATCAATAGAAATATCACAAGAAATTCTCTGGTGGCCGCTCACGACTTTCAGAATAGGAACTCGCGCATGAATAACAAATTGCAGTTTGTACCATAGACCTTTTTTTTTGCATGATAATGGATGTGAGACAAATCGCCACATGAAAAAAATACATAAGTAGTATATAAGATAAACACCAGTGAAGCAAAGAGAAAAGCAAAAAAAAGAAGAAAACATAGAAGCTAAATGAATCACCACTCGCTCTCAGTGCTCGTAGTAAATGTCCGAGTAAAGTTTGTTTCTGCTTCTTTCCAGTGAACAAGATGGAAGAACCGCTGAATAAGTCAACAGAGAGATCTAAGTCTCCCCATCGTGTGAAGAGATTTGACACAAAGGATCCAAATGGTTGAACAGTAGCACCTAAAAACCACAGAACCAGACAATGGGCTATAAGCATCAGATGAAATCATTTATTTACAGAACGAGAATAGTGCGAAAAAGTAACATGAACCACTTCTACTGTTCTGCAACTACAATTCCAGCAGAGATTACCTTACTGAAAGCTCTGAATATCTCACTTTCATATCCAATATCATAATCACATCCATGGCTGGTATGGTTGAAGGCATTACTAGACAGTAAGAAAAATGGGAGAAGCACAAAAGTTCATCAAGAGTCATCACCTCTTAAGCATTCTACAGTTTGTAAGACGTCACGCAACTGATCAATGACTCTGATCCTCGTATCCCAATCTGCTCGTGTGGGTTTAATCACTTGAAGAATTTCTTGAAGGGTAGGATCCAGGAAAGGGTTTCTACTCATCGTCTTGCTCTTCTACAATAATACCAAACACACATTGCCAAGTTATCTCAAAGAAAACGTTATGCAACAATAACACAAAGACTTCACAAGCTCCAATCAAAGTAAATTCTTAAAATTTAAACCAAAGGAACAACCTTTGTCACTAAAACCAAAAAGCAAGATTCCTCATTTTCGAAAGATTATAAAACACTTGAAAATCTCCAATCAAACTAAATTCTTGACATAAACAACTCTATAAAACGAAACATCATCAAGGTTCAATTTTTCTGATATCTTGCTCAATTACAACTCCAAAGGAACAACCTTTGTCACTAAAACCAAAAAGCAAGATTCTTCATTCTCTAAACCCAATAATAGCCAACATTTTAGTATCATCAAAACTGTGAAAACTCTACCCAAAATCAGTATAACATGACTACAGGGTTTTCGCATCCACTGGACTTAAAAAAAAAAGATGATTCGAAAGAGATGAAGAAACCTTAATCCCAAGAACCCAGAATCTAATTCCGATCTAGGGTTATTTCTCTTCCAAATCAGCAATCCGTGCCGAATCACCCAACTTGAGACTGCTCGCAGATAATTTAAGCGCTCGGAGGCAAAGACAATGAAAAGTCTTGGAAGGTTTACTTTATTTTATAATGCGACTAAGGAAACACTTCTTTATTTCATTTTTAATGAATGATGTGACCATCTTTTTAGCGGACCAATAGAATTATTACAAAATATACTATAGAAATTTTAAATAAGAGCTAATTTGCCAATGGCAACAATAACTTAAAGGGTATAGTCACTCAAATATTTTGAAATAATTTGTTTTACATATAAAAATTGTATGCTATATTCGATCATATATTTTAAGTTTTTAACAAGTCATATGATGTTAATGGTTATAGTATTTTTAAATATCTCTTAAACCCTAGTTATTAAACTGATGAATTTTCTTTACATTTATTTAAAACAAAAAAAAAAACATTTTAGACAATGCTTATTTATGATTTTGATGTGGTTGCATGCACATGGAAAAGTTTTTTTTTTCTTTCACAAAAGCTAGTTATCTTTCTTCTTTTTTGTTAAATCTCTATCCTCCTCTAAACATTGTGTCATATTTTAATGCAATCTTAGCCTCAACTCTTTTACTTCATTATCTAACCTCAATGTGTTAAAAATCTCATGTATGTCAGTATGTGTAACCATCACTTGTTTTTACATTTTGTGTATAAAAATAGCACATGAGCTGCACATCCTTAAATGTTTTTGTTTTGGATAATAAAAATCTTTTGTTTTCTTAATTTTGTCATAATTAAGATGATAAGAATATATTTTTGATTAAGAATCAAACCTCTCACACAAACTTTTGTTAAACTTTCCACATACCGTTAACATTTGATTGTGAGAGTAGTTCCATCACATTTTTTTATCAATCGTTTAATTCTTCAACATGTATGGTGTATTCAAAATCTCAATATAAAATAAGATCATATCAGTAATTTTTGTTCTCTTGTCTTGCATGTAGAACATGTACATATTGCTTCATCGGCAACTTATGAAGGCTAAACTTAAAATTTGGTCTTGTCCATTATTGGTGATGGCTTGTTCGTCATGAGAGACAATGGTTGAGAAAAGTGAAAATATTGAAGTAATGGAACAATAAACTATGATAGTTACCATATTCTGGAAAGTAAATTCATATGAATTTCTGTTAAACTATGGATAATTTGTTAGCCACATAGTTGATGCTTTTGTATCTAAACCAACAATGCAGGCCGGTCATATTGATTTAGCGGCCTAAATTAACAAAAAGTGGCATAATATTGTTTTTACCAAATTTTATTGATTGCACATCATAACTTTTTTTTCTTAAACTTGATATTAGTAATTATTAAATGACTAATTTAAAATTTTTATATAAGTCTCTTTATTGTTAAGACATGTTTTGAAAAATCACTTATATTACGTATAAATAAGTTCTAGTTTTGTAAAATAATATTTGAATTGACAACCTTTATGAGAAGTTGTTAATGATAATCATTTAAATGTTTTTAGTTATTATGAATTGAAAATTATTATAACTGAAAGTCTAAAACAATATGAGAGAAAAAAAAATGGACAAAAAGAATGCAATAATCCCTGAGTAAATTATCACATATACTTAGCTCCAAATCGACTAAGATTCCCAAGTGTGGCCTCAATTTCTTAACATTTATTTGTGGAATAAAGCTGGAGCTTCATCTGCCTTATGGTAAGGCCGGACAATTCTATTAGGAAAGACAATTTCTCTCCTCCAATCAGGTTACACTGTTATCAATAAGCAATGTCATTATCCAAAATTTTGGAATGTTATCGTATGAAGAAGAGTGTAGAAGTATCTTGATCACATATGAATGGCTTACCTCAATCCTAAAAAAAAAAGCAACAACAATGATTTTCCAAAGCATATGTGGTAAGAAATGATGTTATAATCTTCACTCCAAAAAAAAAACAAATCCGTTGGCACAGATTAGCCGTTTGACGACAACCTCATAAACATATTCCACGTGGACCAATAAAAAAAGAATCCTCCTAATCATCTTCCTCGTGGCGCCACGTGGCAACTTGGCCAATCCGCATCGTGTGGCGATCAGAGAGTTAAGCCTTGAGGACGAAGAGATAACGAATTGGTTGTTGATCACTCGCTTTTATAAATCTCTCAGTTTCTTGCTCACACCAACATCTCTCAAAGCCTCTTCTTCTTCAACCAATCAAATTCTCTCTCTCTCTCTTCAGTTTCTTGTGTGTTGCACACTCGTCGCAGTCGTGAGATATGGCCGCCGCAGTTTCCACCGTCGGTGCCATCAACAGAGCTCCGGTACACTTTTACTCTCCTTATACGATTTCATTAGTGGTTTAACGTTACTTTTAACACTATCTTACACTTTGTATTTATCAACTTGAATAGCTTTAGTGTTTACAAATTTTAGCTCAAGAATTTGATCCTTTGAATCACTTTGAGATTCTCTGACAGAACATAGAAGAATCTGGACTTTAAACTTGGAAAATAAAGATACTTTGATGCTTCTTTTTTCTCTACTCTGGGAACTATAGATTAGTAGATTTGTTCTAATCTATGTAGAAAGTATAGTAATTGAACTAAAACTGTAGAGTTTTAAAGGATTCTAAAAGAACTTTTTGCTTTGCTTTATTGTTTAGTTTTTTGGTTCAAATATGTCTCGTACCTTGAACTGTCTGAACCAAATTAAAGTGTGGTTTAATCTTCAGCTTCCCCGGTTCGGTTAGGTTTAGTTCCCAATTGGACACTTTTTATCCCTAGGAATAGTCTCTAAACCGGTTCTTGAACCATATGAAATTCAAGATTGGTGTTTGAACTGTTTGTGTGTGTGTGTGTGTGTGTTGCAGTTGAGCTTGAACGGGTCAGGATCAGGAGCTGCATCAGCCCCAGCTTCAACCTTCTTGGGAAAGAAAGTTGTAACTGTGTCGAGATTCGCACAGAGCAACAAGAAGAGCAACGGATCATTCAAGGTGTTGGCTGTGAAAGAAGACAAACAAACCGATGGAGACAGATGGAAGGGTCTTGCCTACGACACATCTGATGATCAACAAGACATCACCAGAGGCAAGGGTCTGGTTGACTCTGTCTTCCAAGCTCCTATGGGAACCGGAACTCACCACGCTGTCCTAAGTTCCTATGAATACATTAGCCAAGGCCTTAGGCAGTAAGTTTTGCATCTCTTTACATCTCTCATTAGTTCCATATATATTTAGACTCTGTGGTTTCAAATTGTCATTATCTTCTTGAAATAGGTACAACTTGGACAACATGATGGATGGGTTTTACATTGCCCCTGCTTTCATGGACAAGCTTGTTGTTCACATCACCAAGAACTTCTTGACTTTGCCTAACATCAAGGTATAGTTTAGAGTTTTTATTTTGAGTATTTTTTGGTGCAATCTTGAGTTATTACACAACTTTATTGATCTTGAAATGCTCTGTTTTTTTCTTGCATAGGTTCCACTTATTTTGGGTATTTGGGGAGGAAAAGGTCAAGGTAAATCCTTCCAGTGTGAGCTTGTCATGGCCAAGATGGGTATCAAGTGAGTCCATTTCCCGATCACTGATCTCGATCCTTTTTCCGTTTTGCTCTCATCGAAAAAAATCTAAAAAACGTTTAAACCTTTTTTGCAGCCCAATCATGATGAGTGCTGGAGAGCTTGAGAGCGGAAACGCAGGAGAACCAGCCAAGCTTATCCGTCAGAGGTACCGTGAGGCAGCTGACATGATCAAGAAGGGAAAGATGTGTTGTCTCTTCATCAACGATCTTGACGCTGGTGCTGGTCGTATGGGTGGTACTACTCAGTACACTGTTAACAACCAGATGGTCAACGCAACACTCATGAACATTGCTGATAACCCAACCAACGTCCAGCTCCCAGGAATGTACAACAAGGAAGAGAACGCACGTGTCCCCATCATTGTCACGGGTAACGATTTCTCCACTCTATACGCTCCTCTCATCCGTGATGGACGTATGGAGAAGTTCTACTGGGCCCCGACCCGTGAAGACCGTATCGGTGTCTGCAAGGGTATCTTCAGAACTGACAAGATCAAGGACGAAGACATTGTCACGCTTGTTGATCAGTTCCCTGGACAATCCATCGGTAAGAAAGACTCTGACTACAATGAACTGGTCTATATAGAAATTCATACATAAATTCCTGCAGATTCTAACTCTGTGTTTTTTCCATATGGGCAGATTTCTTCGGTGCCTTGAGGGCGAGAGTGTACGATGATGAAGTGAGGAAGTTCGTTGAGGGACTTGGAGTGGAGAAGATCGGAAAGAGGTTGGTGAACTCAAGGGAAGGACCTCCCGTGTTCGAGCAACCCGAGATGACTCTTGAGAAGCTTATGGAGTACGGAAACATGCTTGTGATGGAACAAGAGAATGTCAAGAGAGTCCAACTTGCCGACACTTACCTCAGCCAGGCTGCGTTGGGAGACGCAAACGCTGACGCCATCGACCGCGGAACTTTCTACGGTAAAACAGAGGTTTGAAACTCCTTTGTTTTTTGGTTTGGTTGGCCACGGGATTAAACCTTGGGATATGAAAATATAAAAGAGAAGAAGAAAATGGAATTAGGTTTTCTGAAGTTAAACTTACTTGACTTGCAGGAAAAGGTGCCCAGCAAGTAAACCTGCCTGTTCCTGAAGGGTGTACTGATCCTGTGGCTGAAAACTTTGATCCAACGGCTAGAAGTGACGATGGAACCTGTGTCTACAACTTTTGAGCAATATTATCCTGCTTATTAATTTGCTGTTTTACTCCTATTGTCTCTTTCGGGTTTTTTTTTTCCCTTTGTGTAATTGTGGATTGGGTCTTGTCCTCTTTTGTTCCTTTTTTTATGATCATGTGCAACACATTGGTAATTTAAAATTGCCTTGTCATAAACTACATTTCTTCTTCTTCCAATTCATAGTTTTGCACATTCTGTTAATGTTTAGACATTTGAAGTAAACAAATGCCCAAATAGAACAAAATAGAAACAACACTCTAGATGTGAAGCGATATATATCCATCTATCTCTGGAACATATAAATAGGAAAAGTCGTATCCAGATAAAACAGACGAGCTTATGGATATCGGTTCCACGCCCACACCGATGGCCAAACTGTATAAGCCAGAAATCGCATCGCATTCACAAGTAAAGCAAGAGCACCACACTATTGCCTGGTATTCTTACAAAGAAGAAATCCGATATACATTGCTTCTCATATTCAATGTTTAAAATCTCTAGACTATTAGTAGATGCACATAATTGTGTGAATGTGTATATATATATTTGAATTGTGATCACAATTCTCTTTATTTTATAGTGGCTCTTGAACATCCATCATCATACATACATAACTCAACGTAAGAATTTGAGGAAAACGAATCAATTTCCTCTGCTTTGTTATCTATGATCACTAGAGCAACAAGCTATAAGAGTGATACTAAATAAATTATCAGGTTTTAGATGTAACGACCTTGATCGACGAGAGGCTAACAATGTCGGGGCTTTTGAGTTGATCAAGCTGTTTAGTGCCTAACCGAAGCAAATACTCGATGTACTGGAAATTCTTGCGGTCAACCTCCTTAGAGTTGTGGCGGAATTCTGTTGACACGATCATCTCTATTCTCTTCCTGTCTTCTGTTGGCCTTGAACGAGCTGCTCTTAGAAATCCTCTGTAGAGACTCAAGACTTGCTTTTGCATCCCAGAAAGTTTGGAAGCTCCCATCTTCCTCTTTAACAAAAGAGTAAACAAAACAAGCTCATTTAGAATATTGTCATGTACTGAGCACAGAACAACCATTTGAGCTAAAAAAGTGCAGTGACTGATGAACAATCAATAAGATAAAAGTTTGCTATGCAAATCAACAATCATGCAAGTGCATAACGATGAACTAAACGCAGAAAATTGACAAGAGAACGGGTTCTTCAAGCAAACAGACAATGTTGGCCTCAGATTGTGATTAAAAATCTAATATTGTCAACAACTAAAATATATCCCAAGACTTGTTAAGCGTATATGATGAGCCATTGAACAGAAGCTGAGAGACACTAAGCAATTCCTGGAATTAAGGAAAAAAACTGATTTTGAATTAGAAAAAGAAATAAGACAACTCAAAATCTGATGAGAATAAGCAAAAGAGCACAAAATTGTGACAAACAAAGATTTTCCAATTCCATCAGTAAACTACTCAAACTCAGAGAAGATATCGAAATGGAAAAAACAACTTGTGTAATCAAAATTGTTACAGCATCTGGCACAACGAGATCCGGGCTATTTCATCTCACAGATATTCGCATAATTTCATTCCTAAAATAGATTACAACTAGAGATTAAGAGAAAATCTGATTTCGGATGGAAAATTTTAGAACAGAGATGCAGGAAGAAGAAGAAGATCTTGTGAAGGAAAGAGCAAGCGTACCTGTAAAATCGAAAGAGCAAGCCAACAAGTGAATGAAACTCTAGGATTCACTATTCAGGGAATTAATGAGGAACATTGAATGGGCTCTTGTAATACGGGCTTCTATCTCTGGATCAGAATGGGCTTGTACATTAAATTTTTGTCATACGACATCTTTAAAGTAAACAACATTTCAATTTATTACCATTATTTTTGTCTTTAATTCAGTAACATTTACTTATTTATTAGTGCATGATTAGACCATACACAATGGTGTATGTTTTGGTGGGGTGTGAGTATTATTAAAAAGGAAAATAATAGAATAGTGTAACACATGGGTGTGAGATAACACTTGGGTGTGAGTATTATTTTAATGTTTTATGTTTCATCTATCTCTTTCTCTCTCATCTCTCTTTCTCCACTAACCAAATCTCTCTCTCTCTCTCTTAAAAAAAATATAATACATATATTGTTAACACACACCCACCCACATGCACCATTGTGGGTGCTCTTACAAAACAGCAAGTATTTTATTCAAAAAAGGCTGTTATTTATTAAAATATACAAATGCTATTATTTCGTAAATAATACAGTACGTCATTTTCATTAATACGCCAAAAAATCAATTTCTTCTTGATTTACCATTTTTACAGTCAAAAACCACTTATCTAAATAATCCAAATATTCCTATTAATTAGTGGGGATTATGGTTAGTTATTAATTCGCAGTAACAGTTTTGAAAAAAAAAAACCGTTTAATTAATTACCAACAATCAAAGGAAAAAAAAAAAAAGAGGAGGAGGTGGAGGTGGTGCCAGCACACGAAATGGACGGTTGGGTATAAGCCAATTCTGTAATCTTCTTGTTAACACAAAACCCACCTCCTCCTTTCTCTCTTCTTCTCCTCCGTTTATCCTCAAATTAAAGTCAATCAAATCCTCCTCCAGATGCTGTTATCATCTTCTTCCTGAAGATTTGATTTCTCATTTTCCCCTCTTTCAGATCCCTATTCCCATGGCTTCTGGATCTTACTGGTGTTATAGTTGTAGCCGATTCGTTTGGGTTTCCGATTCTCTCTCTTGCCCTGATTGCGACGGTGGTTTCCTCGAACACATCCAAGAAACTCTCGATTTCACTCCTTCCGATTCCTTCCACCGTCTCACCACCACCACTCAACATCGCAGCCCCACTCGCTTCCCTCCTCCTTCTTCCTCTTCTTCTTCGACCCCCTCCGCTTCTATGCACGCTTCCACCGCCGAGAACAGTCCCACTCCTACCACCGTTACTCGTACACGAAGCAATCGATCTCCTAACCCGGTTATTGTTCTCCGTGGATCTGGTGCTGGTGGTGGTGCTCCTTCTGATGTTTCCGAAGGTTTAGATCGATCTGCTTTTCAGATGTATTACGATGATGGTACTGATTCTGGTCTTAGACCTTTACCACCGAGTATGACTGAGTTTTTGTTAGGTTCTGGTTTTGATCGCTTGTTAGATCAGATCTCTCAGATCGAGCTTAACACCAATCGGATTCATCGTTCTTGTGAACATCCTCCGGCTTCTAAATCGGCCATTGAAGCTTTACCGGTTATTGAAATCGATCCGACTCATCTCGTATCGGATTCTCAATCTCATTGCGCTGTTTGCAAAGAGAATTTCGTTTTGAAATCATCTGCTCGTGAGATGCCGTGTAATCACATCTATCATCCTGATTGTATCCTTCCTTGGCTTGCGATTCGTAACTCTTGTCCGGTTTGCCGTCATGAGCTACCGACGGAGGATCTCACCGACGCAAGCGGTGGCGCTTTGACTGTTACCGCTACTGCAGAGGAAGAGGAAGACTCTGCGGCGGGATTGACGATTTGGAGGTTACCAGGTGGAGGATTCGCTGTAGGGAGAATCCCTGGTGGTTGGAGAGGAGGTGATAGAATGATGCCAGTGGTTTACACGGAGGTTGACGGTGGAAGACTCGGTGATGAGAGACTTCCGAGGAGAGTAGCTTGGGGTTCGAGAAGAGGAGGAAGAGATGGAGGTAGTAGAGAGAGAGGTGGCGGGTTTGCGGGTCGGATCATGAGGCTTTTTGGATGTTTTAGTGGGTCATCTGGATCCATAGCTGCTGCTGCATCATCCGGGTCCGGGTCCAGAATTCGGGTTACTCGTAGGACCAGGTCGTTCTCTATGTTTAGTACGACGGCGTCTTCGTCAAGGAGACGAAATTGGCTAGCGTGATTACTAGAATGATCGGCCCCTCTCTCAAGGTAAAAACTAAACACGAAAGAACAACACACTCTTCTTCTGTTTAAATTTTTCCTATGTTCCTTATTAAGTTTTTGTTTATTTCAGTGTAATGATTATATTCATTCCAAAAATTTGAATCTATGCGAGTAAATTGATACAAAAGTTTAGGTGATATAATGACGAAGTTAGATGTTGAAATTGTTCTTGAACATTTGGAGTTTTGTTGTTATTTTTCAGTGGAAATTTAGGAAAGATATGTTACTATGACTAGATTACTAGATTAGTGAGAGTGTAGATGAATTGAAGAATGGACTATGAAGGAGATTCATAGTTGTTCTATTTATAGAAATCATTACGTGAGTATATGGTTTCAATCTGTTTACCCTGTATTCAAATCATAGCATCTTTAGTATTCAAACCTAAGGTTTCATTAGTTTAAGTTGATGGTTTATTTTCCACACCTAAAGTGAATTATGTTTGCCAAACTTGTCCAGTTATAATCTTGGAACTGCAGACTCAACCAATGATACGTACCTAGAGGCTATAGAAGAATCTTATAAAGACACCAATTAATTTTGAGGTCAATAACTACAAGAAACGTAAAAGTAAAGCAATAATAGAGTTTCATACAACGCATCTGATGATGCTGTCGTTTATCGGAGACAGTCTTTGTAACTTAGCCATTATTTTTCATTAATAGATTTGTTTATGCCCTTTTATGTCTCCTATGTCAATGCACTCTTACTCTTATCACAATATTGAAAGTTGAAACTGTATTTTTTTGGGTCGTTGAATATAAACATTTATCAACAATAGCAGGAAAAAATTGACCTAAACCCAAATGCTTAGCGATTTGAATTTGCGTATCAAAGTTTGGGATCTGAAATTCGATTGCTTAAGGTAAGACAAAATTCCGGTTTTCCCAAAGATAAAATTTGTTTTGTATGATCATGAGTCATATGACCACAATATTATCATCAACCTCACATATTGGAGGTCCAGATCGTATCCAACGTGGATTGACCATTAGGCAAAAAGGTAAAAAACACTAATCACTTGTAATCATGCTATAGCTATAGCACCTCCAAAACCCTTATTAAGCCTCGTAAAATCATGAACTGAACATATCTCTCCCTTGGTCAATCTCGCTGAGAGAGGCCTTGTGTGTAAAATAACATTCTTAGAGTGTGTGACTCTAAGCCCAACACTATGATAGCTATGGTCTATTTAACACCCATATATACAAGGCCTATACACCCAACTCTTTAGAATGGCATGTATTAATACAATATCCAGAAGAAGAAGAAAAACAATAGTAGAATATTACATAGACTGTTCTTCGAAAATTTTTTCAATATAGAACTACATATATCCAATATATAACGTATCGGTTTCTTTTTGTTCTTATAAAATTCCATGATATAACTTCAATTGTTTTATAGTATGAAATATATGCGACAAATTGTGATGTTAGATCTATACAGTTTCAAATAACATGTTATAAAGGCATTTTCGGTAGTTAAACACTACGTTATGTCATCGACCCAATTTTGGAGTAAACATGTTACTTTACTTTTTGGTTATTTCACCAATTCACCCATACATAGATCCATATTTCATGTTATGGTCATAGTTGTATCACAAGGAAAATTCAGAATCATACATATATAACACACATACATCTTATATATCATTATTAACATACCACCAAGGAAAACTCGGAGATTATTCAAATTTTAATTTGCAAGCAGGCTATGAGCCAAGTGATGTAAACGGGACAAACTAGTTCACATAGACACGTAACTCATTGAAGAAAGAAAAAAAAAGACTCGTAACTCATTGTTTTGCTTCAATCACTTTCACACTCATAATCAAATATTGGATTATTCACGTCAATCTTATTAGACCATAATACTACAAACAGAAAGATTGGGGTCCCCATACACAATGGTCTGGCCTTGTCACGAAAAAAATACATACGAATAATACAAATAACGCATTTATTCAGAATTGACTTTACTTCTTCAATTTGTTTTTATGTTATCCTTGGTGTTGGTTTTTCCACGAACGTGATAACACCAAAATGTAGTGTAAAATTGTAGGAGCATATAGTCATATACCCGTTTGTCTATTCCGGGTTGCCAGTGGCGGGAGGATATTAGTGACGTCCACAAAGATGATAAGAAACATTCTCAAGATTGGCTTGGTCCATATAATCACATCCAATCACCCTGAGAAAAACAGTCCCAACATTTAATGCTCGAGGCCGTTTTTAAATTTTCGACAAAGGTTGTTAATACAAACTGTGCTTTTGATTTAGGGATCTTATTCCGGTTCATGAGTGTTATGTACTAGCCTTTATCAACATGATGGACTATTGATAAGTGAATATGGAAATATCACATTTAATAAAATGATTGAATTGATGATTGATAATTATATAAAATATTAACTTAATTTACAACTTTTACCCAATTAAGTAGTTTTTTTTAATGTTCATTGCCTTCATGTTTGGAGTTTTTTTGTCAAGAGCTTCAAATCAACTGTGATTAAGTACTGTAGCTAAAATGTCACCTTGCAGCTGTAACTCTATAATTCCATTGGTTGAGACTCATTGTCCTAAGACCAAAAATATATTTGTTGGGGCTTGGTTGAAAGAAAAAGGAGTTATTTGGTAACACAACAGGGAGGAGTTGGTGAGAATTGAGAACGACTTGGGAATGGGTTGCCTCCAGCACACAATTTGACAAATCTTTTGTCGATTTCATCACCACCTTTCGCCAACTTTGACAAACTCTGCAAAATTACAATATATAATTCAACTTTCGTTTACCTTAAATATACTACACGGCAAGCATGACTCGGTTTGACGTGTTACTGTGAGGTTATGACCATCTTAAACTTTTTGGAAGTACTTTTTCTACATTCAAAATTTTATATTAAGAAAATGATTTTAGAATTGAGGACCTTATACGAATGCATGTAGGTTAGGTGATTAGTAACATCGGAGACAAGATAAGACAGTACATGATCGGGACGCAAATGAGGTAGAACATAAAGTAACAAAACTGAAAACATTTTCTTCTAAATGTATTTTTAAATTCATATGGAATGTAAACATGACAAAATAAAACACAATAAAAAAAAATTCTTATGTAAAATCTACTTTTTACGTACCCGCTATGTTACTGCGATCCCTTTGTTTGGTAGCAATTTGGACGGCATATTCTCACGGTAACAAATACTACTTACTAATCATAAAGTCAGAGTGTAAAACAAAGGAGATTTACGAAAATGTAAAATTTACTATGTCGGTCGTGAGTTATATTAGGAATGTGCTTTTTGTCAAATCACCAAATCTCTATTATAATCATACTTCCTATACTATTATTTGGGGAGTACACTTTATAAGATACCCTTAACTAACCTTCCCTTTTGTAAGAATTTACTTAAGAATGCCATTACAAAAATCTTCTTTTAGAACAAATTTCATTCAATTTATTAAGGATAAACAAGTAAAATACTAATTTATGTCATTTAATTAATTTAATTAAATTATAAAACGAAAATCTGTTATTATTTTTTTTTTAAATGACCAATCAAAATGAACATATAAGATTTGATATCTAACTTACAATATTAATTTGTTATTAATCATTAAACTTCACCTCTCATCTTTATATGATTATATTAATATGAAACAAATAAATCATCATATCATCTACATAATAAAAAAAAAGTAATTTTTTTCTACATATGCCAAGATTTGAATTTTTAAAAACGTATATAAATTGTTCAATCTATAAAGAAAACAATTAAACGGGTCAAAAATTCAGACTTGAGTAATATATTTCTTTTACACAAAAATAAAGCCAACAAAAATTCCGACTGAGCAACGGGTCAGAATTTGAATATTTATATTCGATTTCATACATTTATTTTTTTGAAATGTATAGTTTTATATACTACAACAAAAATATAAATATTTTAATTTGCAACATTTAAAATAAGTTTTACTTGATATTTTTAGAGAATATCATCAATACTTAATAGTTCAAAAAGTTAAAAATTATAAATACTCTAATTTGATTATTTTAAAAAATATTTATAATAGGTAGCGGGTTAAATATATTATATGATGAAATGAGTTTTGATCCTTATAACTATTTGAATAGTTATATTTAATTCCATATAATTTGTTTTTTTGAAATTCATAATTTTATAAACTACAAAAAAATTTAAAGATTTTAATTTGGAATATTTAAAAATAGTGTAGAACATTTAAATATGGTTTGACACCTCTAAATATTTAAAAATTTGATTCCGCAAGCAATTTTAGAATTAACGAATAATAGATTGTGCACGCAATATTTTAAAATGAAATATTGAGATTCTAAAATAAAAATATAGACTCCACGCACGGGTTGATTTTGGTATTATTATATACTAAATATATGTTTATAACATATTCGATTATGCGAATAATTGGTAAATTCCGTAATTATAAATCTCAAACAAATTCTGTAATTAGATTAGCTCAAACAAATCTCTATTTCAACAACCAAAGAATTATAAATTGAAAAAGAATTTTCTAAATTAATTCAAAATAATAGCTAATTTTCTTAATTAATTCAAAATAATCTATGTTTTATATGCGATTCATTTATGATATTTTAATTTTTGATCTAACTGAAATATATGCAATCCTATTTTGTGGTTGTTAACATAAATTAACTCATTGTTCAAAAAATATTACTTAAAAAAAAATTTATTTTCCGTTTTCATATCTTAAAATAAAAATGATCCATAATTGAGTATTATAGAAAAAATTCTATATTTATTCTAATATTGTATATAGGGAGTGAAAAAAAAATTAATATTTTTTCACTTACTATTATAATATATTAAAACTTAGTTCTAATATATATATTATATAAATTTTGTAATAGATAAAATTCAACCCGTACTTTAGTACGGGTGATGATCTAGTACTGAGTTACTGGAACAACTTTGCAAAACTAGATTGGTCTTAAAAGATAAACAAAATCATTCAAAAAACAAAAAGAACAATCCTTTAAAATTTAAATTATGAACTTGCTTGTTTTTTGTTAAACTAAGTTACGCTTTTACGTATATAGCAATCATAGTACATGATGCATTTTATCATAAGAAAATCAAATTATAATCTCCAACCATCCTTATTTTTATCCCTGAGGTGGGTTATTGAATTTAATAAATAGAACTTTACACGATATCTCTCTTACGATTAATCTAATGTAGATATGATTTAAAAAATTAAAAGTAAAATCTGCCTAAAACAGAAAGAAAAATTTTAAAAATGTGAGAGATCCCGGAGTAAGTGGGAACACAAAGAAAGTAGAAAAAAAAGTTGATGTGAACTACAGAGACTAAACAGAAACCACAAAGACACGGCCAAAAAGACCTACTCCTCCACTCACACTCACTTGTCTTTTGGGTTTTGTCTCGGGACTTGGCTCTCTCCAAACCCTAAAAACATTCAAATGAATTCGACAAAACAAAAACCCTAATAATCTCATGAAATGATATTTGTAATTAGGTCAAGACAAAATTATGTTTTCTGAATAGTATAAGTTCTAGTTTCCCAAGTGGTTTGGTCAATGATTTGACTTGCTACTAGAATTATTGCTTAGACGTTAACTGAAGATTTTTCACCTAAAATTCAAAGTAAACCGAAACAAACCGGGCAATCCGTAATTAAGAGAGAGAAAAAAAGAGACGATATTTAAAGACATCAAGTAGTAGTATGTAACAAAGAGTCTATAGGCTTATAATGATGGCTTCGTCATCATCATCTCTTTCAAATTTGTTTCTTCGAATCTCAATTCTACTTCTCATTTTCCCTCTCACGTTATGCAAAACATCTTCTTCAGATCAAACACTACTCTTCTCTCTCAAAACACAGAAACTTCCTCAGTCTTCTTCAGACAAGCTTTCATTCAGACACAATGTTACTCTCACGGTCACTCTCGCCGTCGGCTCTCCACCGCAAAATATCTCGATGGTTCTTGACACCGGAAGCGAGCTCTCATGGCTTCACTGCAAGAAATCTCCAAACTTAGGATCCGTTTTTAACCCGGTTTCATCCTCTACGTACTCTCCAGTACCTTGCTCCTCACCAATTTGCAGGACCCGGACCCGGGATTTACCCATACCCGCTTCATGCGATCCGAAGACCCATTTCTGCCACGTGGCAATCTCTTACGCTGACGCTACCTCAATCGAAGGTAACTTAGCTCACGACACGTTCGTAATCGGGTCTGTGACCCGACCCGGTACGTTATTCGGGTGTATGGACTCAGGTTTAAGCTCTGATTCGGAGGAAGACGCTAAATCGACCGGTTTAATGGGAATGAACCGAGGATCTTTATCTTTTGTTAACCAGCTGGGTTTCTCAAAATTCTCGTATTGCATCTCCGGTTCAGATTCCTCCGGTATTTTGCTTCTCGGTGACGCGTCCTATTCCTGGCTCGGTCCAATCCAATACACGCCTTTGGTTCTCCAAACGACACCATTACCGTATTTCGACCGGGTTGCTTACACGGTCCAATTAGAAGGAATCCGGGTCGGGTCAAAGATACTTTCTTTACCGAAATCCGTATTCGTACCGGACCATACCGGAGCCGGTCAGACAATGGTTGATTCAGGTACACAATTTACGTTCCTAATGGGTCCGGTTTACACAGCCTTAAAAAACGAGTTTATCGCGCAAACCAAATCGGTTCTCAAAATCGTAGACGACCCGAATTTTGTATTCCAAGGGACAATGGACCTATGTTACCGGGTTGGATCGTCAACCCGGCCCAATTTCACAGGTTTACCCGTGATTAGTTTAATGTTCCGTGGCGCGGAGATGAGTGTGTCGGGTCAGAAACTGTTGTACCGGGTAAACGGAGCCGGGTCGGAAGGAAAAGCAAAAGAGGAAGTGTATTGCTTCACATTTGGAAACTCTGATCTTTTGGGAATAGAAGCATTTGTTATAGGTCACCATCATCAGCAAAACGTGTGGATGGAGTTTGATTTAGCTAAATCAAGGGTTGGTTTTGCTGGTAACGTTAGATGTGATCTAGCTAGTCAACGGCTCGGATTAAGAGATTGATAGGACTTGTTTATGTCGTATGTGGAAAATGAGAATATTTTCTAGACCAAATACATTTATAATAGTTTTGTGAGGATAGCTTTATACAATGTGGTTCGTGGAGTTTTTTTTTTTTTATTTTGTGGGGAATTTTGTAAGAATGTGTATTATAGGAGATCTTCATGTTGTTTTTAGTTTTTAAAATTGAAATTAGAAAACGATTTAGATATTTTAGTAATTCAATGTCCTTCCTCGGTTGGCAACTAACTCCATTTCAAAGGATCAGTGTCGCCATGCGTCCTACAACATATCAATTCTCTAATACAGTACTGTATATGCTTCAATATAAGTATCATTTATCTATATTTATTTATGATCATTCTTTATCAAAATCTGAACCAAAATTTTTTTTTTTTCATAAAAAAACGAACTGAAAATAACAAAGTGAACCGAACACAGCTTCTGTTTTGTGCTTTCCTAACTATATTCCGGCTCGCATGTAATTCTTACAACTTCTCCAACCTGACAACAAGATTTGGCCTATATGAACAAGTTTGTCTACCAAACCCATACTGAAAAGCTAACAAACGAAAATCGAAAGTTTGGCTCGGATCACTTCATTATATAATTGTTGGGCTTTGTGTGAAACGAATGATTGGCTAAGCCCATGATTTGCTGGAGATGATTTGACGTGAGATTAGTTTAACATTTTGAAGAATAAACCTTACCTTAGCCTTCATTCCTCTATTTGAAAAATCTATCTTATGGGTTTTCAAATCATCAAATTCTCCTCCAATCTTCTCTTGCTCTAAAAGACAAAGCCCAAGAATATAGTTATTGGGCCGCCCAGCGGGCAAAGATATGGAACTTGTACTAACTTACGCTGTCATTGTGTCAAACCTCAATATATGCGATACATTTATTTACAAGTGGAAAACAAACAAAATCATAAAGAATAATCCATGTTAAACTCATAATTGTGTGAAGAATTCTCTTCCAGTTCTTTATTAGTTTTTGAACTTTAGTCTATTTTAATTGTGTAGACAAATACAAGGAGGTAACATAAAGAGACAAAGCATATCAAGGAGATCCAAGTCATTCCATATGCTGGTGGGTATCCATATTCGTTCATGTGATGCTATCAAAGACCCATAACATCACCCCCAAACAAATAAAAAGCTTTTCATTGTTTAAAAAAAAAAAGTGATTTCGATTCTTTGAATCTTTTCATTGATCCTTTCATTACCTACTTCTATTTTGTCTCACATTAATATAGATAAACGATATGTCCACTCATCTATGTCCATGCATACAAACGTCACATACTCTTTGCATGTTTGCCATTGAACCTGATTTGTAGACTGTCGTAGCAATAATGATTCTAACCGTTCCTCGTTTAGAAATAACAAATCGCAACAATATATATGATGAGAACATATAGATAGTAGCCTTGTAGGAAAAAGAAAAAGAGAATAATAGAGAACAAACTAAAAATTATATAAAAATCAAATACTTAAAACTATCTCTTTTTCAAAAAAAATGAAACAATCCAAATTACCCCCAAATTTTTAATCCTAATTCAACTATTATCCGAATTATTAAAAATTCGGATAACTACACTCAAATTCCGAAAAACTGGTTCTGGACCCATTACCTGAATTTTCAATCCCATATTTCTTGAAACTATCCGAATTATGGATGCATGTATTTCTCATCATTTGGATAATTTTGTCTCTACTATTAATGTTATTCAGGCTTGCGTGTCACGGATGTGATTGTTGACCAAACATGGACCCTAAATTACACTTTTGTATTTATTTCAAAGAATGATTTTGGATCGAGATTGGCCTTGGCCCTTGGCCTTCTTTTTTGATATATATAGTTATTTCATCTTATATAACTATTTAAGACTCAGCCAGGTTTGCTGAATTAGCTCCAAAAAGCAGTCAGTGATCACATCTAAGGAGTAAGGACGAATACTGAAATAAATTAATATAACCGTGAAAATGGGAATAAGTTTGTGTTCCATATCATGTAGGTTAAATATAATACCATTAATTATGACTCTTGAATTGTGAAACACAATCTGTTCTATATGGCATAGCGTAGCAACTTCCTACTTCGTAATTAGAAATGCTAAAGAAAACACATCTATATATGTTTTGTCTTTCGGAGGAAAACAAGCTTTAGTTGCAATTTTTCATTAGTTTGATATATGAGTAATAGATTAGCTAGTAACCATCAATAATTGTCGATATAATAAAATTAACAAGACGGCCACAAAAGTGACAAAAGAATAAAGAGAGTCAAATGGAATTGTCCGGAACTGCGGATATGTCTATAATAATCCAAATTAAGCATGCTAATGAACAATCAAACAATTCATAATCATTAAACAAAGATCCTTTAGATTTGTGGGGATGGCTAATTTACACTTTTTCTTTGCCAATTTTCTAAAATATATTATTCCTCTTGATCTTTAACAAATGGAATATTCTTTTTGAAAAACAGTTATCTACATGTATAAACCATACTTAGAATGCTAATGCATATATAGAATAACATTTTTGAAAAATGCTACGAAAATAATCTTGTCAAATAATTACTTTCTTATCAAAAAAAAGAAGACTAACTACTCTTGTGAAAAAGAATTGGTTCGGATTAGATGTACATTTCCCAAACAATCTAGTCTTATGTTTATACAAATACATCAGTTGTCATATCAATTTATACATCATTTGTTTTCCTATTTCAGTGACAATCATATTGATCTATCGATTTTTCAGCATATGATATATAAAAATGTATTATAAAGTCCCAATAGCCTAAAGTGGTAATCTCGTTTGTGAATGGACAGAGTTACATCATGTACTGATTTGGAATCAAAATCATATGTAGTTAATGTCTCAATTGATTACCCACGAAAAAAAACAGCGTTGGTACTAAAGAATTTCTTCAAATGCAGTCTTTTTTGTTTTGTTTGTTTGCAAAATAAATATATATATATATGAGACTATATAAACCATATAGGTTAAAAATGTATAAAAAGGGAGTATATAATAAGTATTACAGGAGTCAGATGCATATGATATCTCTGCAATGCAGAGATGCCCATGGTAAGAAACTACAAGAAACCCAGCTGTTAGTTTCCCATGTGGACTATTAATTATTTGATTAATTCAGACTTCTCTACTATTACTAATTCAATTCACGAGAAAACTATCCAAAATAAAACAAGTGAAAATTACCCAGATTGACTCAAAACTTGGCACTAATAACTAAAATGACTCTCATTAGTGATGGATAACTAGACTAACCCAAATTTTGTGTAAAAAGACCAATTAACCTTAATCAAGATTTCTACAACATTTCTATTCACAAAAAAAAAAATTATTTGATTTCCGAAATTAAAAAAAAAAACAGAAAAATTAAGAAATAAAACAAGTAAAGCAAACACAAACTCGATTTATGTCATCTTATTTCTCCCAAATCAGATTTTCCTCTCATGAGGCCACTTTTTCACAAAAACTAAGGAGGCCACGTTTTTTTTTTACAAAAACCCTAGATGTCGACATTTAATGTTTTAGTGGTAAATATGGTAACTACTCTAATAAGTCTGTCATTACGAGGAAAAAAACTGTCACCACTGTAAATATTATTATAGCAAAAAAATCTGCCAAAAAAAAAAAACACTGTTATCAAAGAGGTTCATAATTACAAATCTGTCGTAACATACAAAATTATAAAGGTCATTCTAACAATTTTTTTTTACTTTAACAAATCTGCCATCAAACGACAGATTTGTGGTAATATAATTTAAACTGTCATAACATAAAACAAGTCTGTCATAACATAAAAGATTATATTTTGAAAAACAAATATGTTGTAACACGACAGATTTATGGTAACATTATAAAAATCTGTCATAACATATAACAAATCTGCTACCATTAGACGTCAATCTAGTTATTAATTTTTAATCAGCAAATCTGTTACAACATGACAGTTTTTTCCGAAAATAATAAATCTGCCGCTTCTTACAAATTAAATCAGTCAGACATTACAATAAGTCTGTCACAAATTGTTAAAGTTTGTGGTTGAATGAAAAAAAATCTGTCAACAAAAACAAATCTGCTAAAATTCGGTAAGTTTGTCGTAACCATATTCTAAAAAATCTGTTACAGACAAATAAGTCTGCAGTTTATAAATTAATCTGTCACAACTAGATAGCAGATTTTTCTAAAATTGCTGGAATTTTTTATGAAGGGTATTTTTGTATTTTTTTTTATTTTTTACACATGAGACAAGGGTATTTTAGGCATGAAAATAACTCATTTAACCCAAATTATATGTGAGTCAATTTAGTAATTAAACTCAAAATTTGGGTTAATCTAGTAACTCTCCCATAAAACAAAACAAATTAGTTGTATAAAGACTTAAGATTTTAGTTTTTCTTTCTTTAAAAGCCGTAAATGGTAATCATATTTCAAGTTTGATGTTAATCTAGTATATTGATATTGAATCCTAGATACCTAATTGTAACACACTAAAAAATACGAAGTGGAGTTAAAATCAGTAAATAACTAAATTGGTTTTGTCTTGGGTTTTATATAATTAAGTTACTTTAGTACAATAAACAAGATAATGAAGATCAATGAAATTTTTAACAAACAAGATGCTGATAAACTTAATAGCTAAACTAGATATTCCACGTGTCTTGTTGTGGTTCTTCCTTTCATGAGAAGAAAAATTCACCTCCAAGATTAACCAATCAGCATTTTTCCTTTCTTGAGAAGGAAAAATCACCTCCAATGTTTACCAATCAACATCAAATATTACCCGTTAAAGAACCAATTTCATAAGCAACGAAATGGCACTAATCGAAAACTATACGTATTTAAAAACCCCGTAATAGTTTAAGTATAAAAGAAAGTCGTAATCATATTTAACACATTCTAATTTCTTGAACAAGTCTAATTATGGCCTAGTCTCACTAAATTAACAATTCAACAAGTATAGTTTTATACTGTATCATTACGCATAAACAAAAGAGCTTGACCACAAAATATAATTAACAAAAGAATATAAAA